TACCCCCCCTCCCCTGCCCCCCGAGTGCACAAATTTTTGTGCACCGGGCCTCTAGTATTTACTATAAAGAAGAAGGCTGTTCATATTTCTTTTCATATTTAACCTGTAGAAAGAAGGCACAACATCTTAAGTATATCTAATTATTGCACCTAATTGAATCTATCCATTTCTCTGTTTGTGGATCTGCAGTTGATGATACTGACACATGGCACAGGGCAGCATCAGTATATTTAGTATAAAGAAGAAGACTGTTCATATTTTTTTTTCATATTTAACCTGTAGAAAGAAGGCACAACCTCTTAAGTATATCTAATTATTGCACCTAAATAAATCTGTCCATTTCTCTGCTTGTGGATCTCCAGTTGATGATACTGACACATGGCACAGGGCAGCATCAGTTAGATTTCCTCAGCAAATAATTTGTTAGGGCAAGACCAGTCTGCAATGGGTGGAGTGTGCTTTATCAGAGTGTAAGTGAGCTCTGAGGAAGGTCAAACACAGGTCATGCATTTTACAAGTGTCAATATTAAGAAACCCCTCTCTTCCAGGAATATTGTAGCAGCTCACTGCGACATTATCATTAACACAGGTTACCTGATCAAGGACATCTGAAAACTGTCTAAGTTTGCTGAGTTCCACCAAATTCAACCAGGTCATGTCCAGGATCCATTTAGCTGGTTTAGGAGGACAAGCTTTAAGGTCCAATGAGGCACCACCTTTAAAATTAAACATATAAAGCTATTATACTTTCTTTTTTTATTTTAAGACAATCTATAAAAACTTTTGCTTAAACTATGTTAAATCCAATTATTTTACTACATTGACATTTTTAAGCTCAGAAATGTAAGTCATGGTGATGAACAAGATTTAAAATTTAATGAAAGAATAGGTGATTTCACAAAAACACATTTAAGAATCAGTAATATAACTTTGGAGCCAGGCCCATGCTGGATTCTATCCTAGCTCCACCTGGTCGAGGATGCTAAGCTCAGAGTCATTTCCACAAGGAAATGCATGCCTGAATTTAGGATATCAGGAACTACTTTCCCCTAGGAAAGCTCAGTAAGCTAGAGGACCAGAGTAGTGAGGCCAGAAATCGGTAATATATGATGCATGTCTATCTAAGGCGTTGTCTCTCCAGATCACTCACCTTCTACTTGATCAGCTTTAGGAAACTTAGAAAATAAAAAAACCTGAGGAGCAAGAGTACAAGAGACAACAAATTGGAGGGAGAGAGAGAGAATTGTCCATAAACATACATTTGTAAGCTCAGGTCTAGCTGAATGAGTCTTTGCTGCTACTATAAGATGGATATGCATATGTATATGAACATGAATATGCATTTGTATATATATAGATATCTATCTATCTATCTATCTGTCTATCTATCTATCTATATATCAGTATGACTACACACCCTCTAGGGCACAGCATGTGCATATACACACCCCCTCCCTACTATCCCCATTGGGGTTCTCTTCAAGGTTCTCTGCAAATCCACTCTCCAGGTAAAGTCATGAAAATCCACTCCAACCCCCAGATAAAATGGTGTCTTATTTTTAAAGGCTTTGTTTAGAAAAGTATAGTAGATAAAACCATTTAGACCCCTACTATCATTTTCACAGGCACATTAAATATTTGCTGTCTTGCCCAGCCCGTGTGGCTCAGTGGTTGAGTGTCAACCCATGAACCAGGAGGTCATAGTTCGATCCCCAGTCAGGGCACATGCCCAGGTTGTGGGCTTAATTCCCAGTAGTGCAGGAGGCAGCCAATCAGTGATCCTCATCATTGAGATTTCTATCTCTCTCTTCCTCTCTCTTCCTTTCTGAAATCAATAAAAATGTTTTTTAAAAAAATAAAATAAATATTTGTTGTCCTGACATTCAAGAATGTGATAGTGAATTTATGTTTCCCCACCTTCCACTGGGCTGTCTTGTTCCAGTGTATGGTATAGGGCAGTGGTCGGCAAACTCATTAGTCAACAGAGCCAAATATCAACAGTACAACGATTGAAATTTCTTTTGAGAGCCAAATTTTTTAAACTTAAACTATATAGGTAGGTACATTGTTATTAACTTAATTAGGGTACTCCTAAGGCTTAGGAAGAGCCACACTCAAGGGGCCAAAGAGCCGCATGTGGCTCACGAGCCTCAGTTTGCTGACCACGGGCATAGGGGACCTGTCTGTGAGCAATGCTTCAGCAGATACAGAATAAGTGTCCACAGGCTGAGCTGCACGGGTGCCTCACCCACCCACTCCAGCCACCCGGCTTGCTTTGCTTTCCCTCCATCATATTCCTTGCTTTCAATGGAGCCCTTGATACTGGCTCCTCTTCCTTCAACACTCTTCCTCTAAATGTCCCCCAGAACCAGTGCTATGCTCCTTCAGGCCTTTGCTTACCTATCCATCTTTCAGGGAGGTCTACCCCATTAAAGATCCCATATATCCCATTTAAATTTTAAACATCCCCTACCTCACACACCCTTTATCCAGCTGTTTTTTTTCCACGTGCTTACCAGCTCTTCACATACTGCATAATGTACTTATTATTTTATGATTTTTTTTTATGTATCACCCACCCAAAAAATATATAAACTCTACAAAAGCAAGATTCTTCTTTTTGTTCACTGATGTGTTCCAAGCGCTTATTCTGTGCCCCAGCACACAGTAGGTTCTAAACAAATACTCATACAATAAATGAACAAATATCTCACATAAATGCAATCTTCAATGAAATGCAAAGAAACTATTATATAACCAGAAGAAATTACTGCACAGGACCTTCACAATCATTCCTATCCCTGCAGCTGTGTACAATGCTTCAGAGGTGATACTGACCTTTAATAAGGGTGAGAAACTCCTCATGCTTGACCCAGTTCCTCTGGATGTCAATCTTCAGTGTAAGCAACAAGGTGAACAGGAATTTGTGCTCCTCGTACAAGCCCCGGGCAGCATACTTATAGACCTCATAGGTCATGTGTTCTATGATATTAGCAATTCTTTTGCTTGTAATTGGGCTCTTGACAGACCTGGAGTGGAGAACATTGTAATCAGATTCATCCCCTGCCCTTTTCAATTGTACATAAAAGCAACGTCTTGAATGTAGAATAAGTAACTTTGGAGGGCCAATTCTTATTTTGTACACAACAAGGGTAAGACCTCCAAATCTAAAATAACAAGCATTTTCTCATTGTGAAATAACATAACAGACTCCATAACGTCTTCTAAATCAATTTTATCCAACAGGCATTATCACTCACAACAATGTCTTGGGGATTTTCTTGTTTAACAGAAACACATGAAACCACAGGAATCAATCAATGGATGAATACTTGGTGGAGCTTTCTCTGAGCATCAAATGATACATGAGAATGATTTGTTAACACAGTAGCTATTGCACTAATCTTAGATTTAAAAGAGAATAAGACTCAGCAAAGCTAAAGAAAATTATAAATGTAAAGTCATCATCTAGACCACAGATAGAGAATTCAGGTTGCCTTCCCAAGCACACACACACCTGGCTAAGGAAAGGTCAAATAAGCCCAGAAACTGGCGGAGCGAAGTCTGATACATCTCATTAACCAAGCGCATCTCGGTGATGAGGAAGTAGAGGATGCTGCCCCGAGTAGCCACTGAAAGACAAAGTAAGGCTGCATGTACTATCAGGCTGGAAAGTAAATGACCCAGGGACCGATCGGCCTCAACTCCATGAAAACAACAAGTTTTATTTTTATGTCTTACCAATAATTATGTATCAGCAGTGGGAGTCTAGAGTGATGCTCATCCTCTGTATTTAATTCTTACTTATAGGCTTTGTTTAAGTAGTCCACTCTTTGTGTTGGTCAAATGGCACTTTCCATTTTAGAATGTCTAGATCCCTTACAAGTACACTTTACTGTTTCTTTATATGTAGAAAAGACAACTGAAAGGATATCAAAGGTTTTAACACCTAGCAAGTTGTGTAGGCAGTGGAAGGACCTCATTCTTAAGTGCCATGAAGAAGCTGTGCCTAATCTTGGCCTAAAGCTGGCAAAACAAGGCATCACAAAGAGGATGCACCTGACTCTTCATTGGTAGAAGATATGGTTTCCATTATTTTCCCAAGAGGAATGATAACTTATTAAAGCAGATTGAATTCTTTTAGCACAATCCTCTAGTAACCAATGAGCAATACCAATTATCAAATTGGTGGATAAGACTGAAGAGCTCCCATTATACCAAAGAACTACCTTCCAAATACAAAGACTACAAACAAAACACTAGCTATTTGTTGTCAAATAATAAACAACTAATGAACAGCCCAAAATTCATGCATTAATTCCTCAGATTTTACTAATTTGTAGTCAGCTGGTCTTTTAAAATTCTCCCTTTTAGTTCTAGTTTAAAAATAAGTTCACAGGAACTTTAAAAGATTTGCCAACTAACATGAACTGGAAAATTAACATCACTATAAAATATTGTCATCTCAATTTTACTTAATAGAAATGCCACAAAACATAAATGGCCACCCCACTTTGCAAGACCATTGGCCTAATGTCAATTTTTCTAATTCTCATTTATTTCCCGCTTCATTTTCCTGTGACATTAGTTCATTACCAAACTCACCAGGTCTGTACTCCTCCCGGGCTGAGTTAATTTGAATTTCTGTATCAGCTGAAATTTCCAGCTTCTGTGTCACCTCTTCGGCGGTCTTTTTTGTGTTACTCAGCACAATAATGAGACCCTCGTCTTCCACCAGGGACCCCTGGGTACTCGTCAGCCGGTAAAGCAAATTATCTTCTAGCTCCTTCATTCTTCTTTTGTTTGCGGTCACATCTTCCATAAGATGAGTTCTTTCTTTCTCCAATTCCTGTTAATTTGCATAAATATATTTTCTTCCTTAATTAATAACTATTGTTTGGTTATTCCTTAAAAAGTTAACATACAGGGCTGTCCTCAAGCTCCTGTAGTATAGTTACCATATTTGGTTGAAAAAAAATAAAAACATCCAAGTAAGAGAAGGAGGATTAATAGAGGAAAGAAGAATTGGTAGCAAACAATGTGAAATTTGCTAAAAGTATTACCAAATCCCCTTTACCAACTATTTCTTTTCTAAAGTTGAATCATTTTAAGTGACTTGTGATTACACTTAAGCTTGTTTTGAAGATGACATATATTTGAAAATATATTGAAGTGTATTTGAGGACAAATGTATATATGTCTCAGATTAAATACATTTACTTCTGCAGTTGCATTTAAATGGAAAAATCTTCTTTGCTTGTAAAGGTGCTGTTTTCTCCAAGTGAAGTGAAGAAGTGTCTTCCCTATAGGTCTTTTATTGGCAGCTTGGGAGAGAAGGCTTCAGAAGATTATTGTCCCTATTGGCTATTTCTTCCTCCTGGTAGTTAAGAGAGGGAGAGACAGTGGAAGAGAGGAAAGGAAAGGTGGGGTTGGTGAGGGTTGGGGAAGGAGGAAATGGCCATGACATTGAGCACACCAGCGGAAGCAGGAAGCTCATAGGCTGGGCGATAACAGAACGCTTCTGGCACCAAATCAAATTGTATGTGAAAGTATCATTATGTGAGAGGCTCTAACTTTGAAGCTAATAAAAGAATCAAAAAATGGGAAGGACAATGAGTAAACAGGATTTAAAAATCTAGTCATGTCTTGGTATCAGAAATACAGACATAAAATTCTATGTAACCAAAAAAAAAAAACCATGAAGTTAAAATCAAGATTATGGTAACACAATTGCATTAAGGCAAAGAGAAAGACCACTGGCCTCTGCTTTCTATTCTAGCCAGTTAACCCCCCACTGATTGAACAGTTTTGGTGGGTAGGCTCCTACCAGGCTCCCAACTCATGGTCTGAGCACAATGTGTCAGGTCTGGTAATATTCTAGAAAAGGAAAACTCCTTTAAGCCAAACAAAAGCTTTGCACTTACATCAATTCTTAATTCTTTGAGATGTAGCAACTCAAGCAAAACCTGCTCTTATTATCTTTGTTTCCATCTGTTACTTATATTTGGAAGCTTCCTGAGTGGTTATTTTAATTTATTTATTCACTAGATGAGAATCTCAAATTTGAGGTAATATAGAAATTAGTACAAACAAGTGACATTTAAAGATCACCATAAAATTTCTTTCCAAATGCAGTTATAATAAAAAAACATTCACACCATGTTTACACTAAGAAATACAATGATAATAAAACTAAAGGGGAAAACTTCAATTATTTTTATTGCCATAATCTAAAATTTCATACCTAACACCATCATTTCTGAGTTCCTCAAGGTGAGCTTTATAGAAGTCCTCACCTGAAGACAGGTAAGAGAAGGAATAGAGCAGTGGGAGGAGTGATGGTTTTGACATCAGAAAGACATGTTTGAATCCTAACTCCCAGGACTTATTAACTACATGACCTTGGCCATGTTACACAACTCTACAAGCTTCAGTTTCTTCATCTGCAAAATGGACATAAAAACAGCTCCAAGAGTGATTGTGAGGACATCGCTATTAAAGCAGCTAAAACATCAACTGGATGGATAGCTGCTCAGAATGTGTATCGTCCCTTCTATCGCCTCCCTTGATTCATTTCCCTCATGGATTTTTCAGAAAGATTAAAATGTGTATTGAGAAATGAGTAGTTTAAAAAATAAAATCATAAGTTGGCCCAAAAAATCATACTTTAGATTTCATATACCATCATAAAAGCATAATGATGTAGATGAAAGGGGATGTTAAAAAGGAGAACTTTCTACTCTTGCGCTCACACTCAGGATACGTGCTTCCCTGTCTGCAGGGACTGTCAAAACCAAAAACCGCCCCAAGTCTTACTGAGTCTTTTCCTGAGCAAGTTTTTCTTCTGTCCATTTCCCCCCAATTACATAGCCCCTGCCCTAACTGGGGCAGTAACTATTACGTATTCCATGGTGGACTACTCTGACCACACTTGGTCTCCCTTTTCTGCTCCTAAGTCATTCAGAAGATCTCCCTTAGCTTTTGGGAAAAGGCCAAAATTCTCAACATGCTTCACACAACCTGTCACTACCTACATTTCCAACCTTGTTTCCACTTCTGAACTATGGGATTGAAACTAAAATTATGCCTCCAGACCTAAATAGATACTTTTTGAAAGAAGATATAAGGAAGGCCAAGAGACAGATGAAAACATGCTCAAAATCACTAATCATCTGAGAGATGCAAATCAAAACGACAATGTGGTACCCTCTCACACCTGTCAGAATGGCTATCATCAACAAACAACAAGTGCTGGCGAGGATGTGGAGAAAAAGGAACCCTCGTGCACTGCTGGTGGGAGTGCAGACTGGTGCAGCCACTGTGGAGAACAGTATGGAGTTTCCTCAAAAAACTAAAAATGGAACTCCCATTTGACTCAGTGATCCCACTTCTAGGAATATATTTCAAGAAACTAGAAACACCAATCAGAAAAGATATATGCACCCTTATGTTCATAGTGGCACAATTCACCATAGCTAAAATTTGGAAACAGCCTAAGTGCCCATCATCAGATGAGTAGATTAAAAAACTGTGGTACATCTACACAATGGAATACTACGCTGCAGTAAAAAAGAAGGAATTCTTACCATTTGCAACAGCATGGATGGAACTGGAGAGCATTATGCTAAGCGAATTAAGCCAGTCAGAGAAAGATAAATATCACATGATCTCACTCATTTATGGAATCTTGTATGCATGTATATAAACCTAACCAATGGACACAGACAACGGGGGGGGGGTGGATAAGGACACATATGTAATACCTTAATCAATAAAGAAAAAAAATTATGTCTCTAGGTTGCTTTAAAAACCATTATTAATAAAATAAACACAGTTATTAGTAATGCATTCAATAAGTGGCAAATTATTTAATTCCTGATTTAAAAAGTAATAAGTAAAAGCTTGACTATGATTGAGATGGTGTGGTCAATTTAATACTATTGTTAACACTTTAAAATAAATTTGTCAATACAGTAATACATTTATATTGCCAAAGGCTTGAAATAAAGCTAAGCACTACATTTCCCCCAAAGCTTGAAACCAATGAATAATATACTCCAAAGAAAATAGTACAATTTAAAGTAGTATTTGGGATTAGAAAAGCAAAGTATGTATTACATGGTACAAAAGTGGCCCAACACTAGAACAGACCATAGTTGTGAGGAAAAGAAAGTTATCTTTGAAAGAAAATAGAATAATTGCTGCTTGCTTTTCACTCAGGATTTAAAAATAGAAAACCTACTTTGGGATAAGGTTTTAGGCATATTTTAATTTGTATGACTGATTTAAATTTATTTCTGTTGACTATATAAAAAGATAGTTCTTTTTCAAATTAATATGAAGGAGGAAAATTAATCAAAATAATTTTGTCTGTAAGCATTTTTCCCACAAAGGGATTATCTCTTACACACACACACACACACACACACACACACACACAAAACAGTAAACATTTGTGCTCTGTATTCTATATCCTAAGGCTACAATGTAAAATTTTTAGATAAACTGTGAAAACTATCCCCAAAGTGAATAAGAAAACACAGCAGTTATTCAGTATAAGTTCAGGAAATGTACTATTTATTAATTAAATGATCAAAAAGTAAGGGCTTCAACAAAGATACAAATGAAAACTAAAATCCTTTGTGTACATAAATGGCACCTGTAACCAAAGGTTTGAAATCAGTAACAGAAAAGAGATGACAGCCTTTCAGAGTTCTCATTTCTAAGGTATCACCCAGGCTTTCATTCCCTAAGATTCCTTCTCTTCTGCACTTTACATTGCTAATTAAAACAGAAAGATTAAACAACAGAACTCGGAAACAGATTTATTTTTTCTCTCCCACCAGGGAGCTGGCAATAACACTGTCTGTTTAGTGTCTTTATTAAATTACTTCCCATATCAGCTCCACCAGGTTCAGGCTCCTCTACCTCCAAAGGAAATCAATCATCCGCCTGTCTGCTCATCCGGAATTCTAAACAACGATTACCCCTGAGGCTTTGCATGGCGAGACAGTAGAAGTTGTTCATTGATATTAGTATTTTTCTCCTAATACTGCAGAGGTCTCTTTGAGTTTCCGACTTGTTTTCTGGGACCAAGGTCAGAGTGAGCCTAGGAGACTGGGTTTTCTTTAAAGGAAAGCTGCTGGAGGGCCACTGGGTTACTGCCTGCTTAAAATGGTCCCGATCCATCACCTTCTGGTGACAACAGAGGCTGTCTGAATCTACTCACAGGTACATCAATCAGGTCAACAATTGAATATGGCCTTGGTGTGAACTTGAACAGCTCACACATTTAAAATGACTGCCTTGAAGCACACAGAAAAGTGTAAAGTGAGTTCAAAAGTCTGCCGTCCTTGCATTCATAGGCTCTGGGGTTCCTTTGGTTTCTGAGGCTAACAAAACTGTGGGTCCAGCCGGCTGTACAGCTGAGCACTCCTAAGACCAGATCCCGTGTGAGAGGCCTCCTCACTACCCATGTTCCCAGGACACTAGGAAACTGGTAAATTATGGAATCAGAGAATAGTGGTCTTTCCCTTGCAGCATAAGCTACAGCTCCAAGCCACCTTCCACACGAAGAACCTACAGGCCAGTGAATGCACAACTCATGCTGACTGAAGACGCTCACCATTTGTTTCAGCCCCACATTTAAGGGATTTTCTTAGATGCTTTCCAACATCAACTTCCCATCGGTGGGATCTTCCTAGCTTCCAACACCCCCCTTGGCTCTGCAACATTTTATACTGACATTTTACATTCATATTGAAAATCACCCAAAAAGTGATCATAGAGAGACTACATCATCAATGAAGTCAAAGGAACAATTTAAACCTAAGAAAACCTTTTATATCTGTGTTCATATGACACAGACATGGGCTCTTCTCTACTGAGTCACTAGATTATAGGCCAGCGGTTCTCAACCTGTGGGTCGTGACCCCTTGGGCGGTCGAACGACCCTTTCACAGGGGTCGCCTAAGACCATCCTGCACAACAGATATTTACATTATAATTCATAACAGTAGCAACATTGCAGTTATGAAGTAGCAACAAAAATAATTTTATGGTTGGGTCACAACATGAGAAACTGTATTTAAAGGGCCAGAAGGTTGAGAACCAATATAGGCAATGCCCGGAAAGACCAGAGGCCACCTCAGAGCCACGTGCCACCACCCAGGCCGGAGAGACAGTAATCAGAGCAGATTCGGGGATACGGTGGGAAGATCAGAAGCTGCAAAATAACAAGCTGCTTGTGCAATGTATGCCACTTAAAATCCTCCCAAATAAGTCCAGCAGGAGGGAGACTTTGCTTTAGAGAAAAGAAAATTCAGGTTACATGTTGTATGATAATGTGGTTCAGGGTAAGAGACCCTCTACTATCCGAAGGAACGAGTGTCGTGTCATGTTACTCTGACCACACTCTTTGTTAAGAGTCGTTTACTGTGAGACTGGAATGGATTCTGATAATGAGATGACATTCAACTTTCCCAGGAAGTATGAGAAAAGCCGGGCCAGGGATCCTTATTGCCTTTTCAAAGCTGTTTGAAGTCTTGTTTTCAAAGGAGCTTAAAGTGCTCCCTGCTTCATCTCAAACCTCTGCAGCCACAATCACGGCTCAGCGCTGGGCTGTTCTGTTTTGTTGCAACCACAATCCGTCAGACTAAATAATTTTCTAAAGAGACTCTATTCATCTGAGCTGAATACAAAGAAAACCAAGGACAAGGATGTTATTCAAACTGCCATCAGAGTCCCTTATCTCCCTGAGGCCAGGGCCACCGGTGAGGCAGAGCCTCAAACACCGCACTGGGTCCTGCCCTGAAGACGTTACATCCCGTGGATCAAGATGGCCAGTCCTTCCTGCCATCATGACACAGCAGCGCTGAGCTTCCTCAACCACCTCCGCTGAGATGCCAAAAATGAACAAGTACATATTCTGAAGGTGTTATCTCTTGATAGCTGGTCTGTGGCAGGCATTCTAGCATCCGTTCCTGCCATTTTTTATTTCCTGATATTTTATTTGTGGAAAGGCTCAAGCATGATACAATATACAAAAAAGGTAAAAGTAATGGGAAGGGAAGACTCCAAAAATTCTGCCAATTTAACCGAAATAAATCTGTAGGCCAGTGTAGCAGGTGCCATAAAGTAAACTAAGAATCCAGAAGAAAATCAATAGCACCTTTCAGAGTCCATCCAGTTTCACCAAAGCAGTCTTATTAAAATCCTCAAAAATCTCTAGATTTCTCTGCCTAAGACTCACTCGTTCCCTAGAGAAAATGCTGGTTCAGAACAGGGAAGTTTCTAAATTATTGACCATTATTCATTGAGCATTAGTTTCCCCATAAAATAGAAGTAAAAAAAAAAAAGAAAGAAAGAAACAGATCTAGAGCATAATTGAGCCAGTCGCTTCCAGAAAGTGAAACTCTATCTTCTCACAGCATACACAGAACGTTCTTAAATAACAAATATGAACTAACAATGTTTGGTGTTACCTGAGTGAAGCATTTTAATTTTATATTCCAAAAGTATAACAAATGAATTGAATAAAAGAAAAACCTAGACATGTACCAGAAAGCTAAAAGTCCATAGAACTCACAATAGGACAAACTCTTCAGGAAAATAAATTTAAAAAAAAAAACAGGATAATGAGGCTGAAAATAAGGCTGATATTCTCATAGTTATACCATTTGTCTTTATGAAATCAAGTGATGATAGGTATGTGATTTATGAGATGCAGATGAAATATGTTAAGTAGATATTGGTTAGCAGTTATCTGAGGCACTTGGGAATTAGTAATGAAAAAACTTCAGAATAAAACAGGAACTCAATCCTATTACAACTTTTATCACATTGTTTTCATTAATGAAAGAATCACAATATAATTCAGAGGAGGGCATGGCCATACGTCACTCACCTGCTTCTCTGTGAGAATGACTCTGCCCAGTAACTGGTCTTCTAGACCTTTCATAGTGACAGTGAAGTCAATGATGGAGGTTCGAGCACTTATTTCAGGGGTGTAGGCTGGGTTGGGCAGTTTGGTGGTAATGTAGAGTCTGAAGCCATGCATCACATCTACTTCCTTGTCACTGACTTTCACCTTTTTTATAAAAAAAAGCAAGTTAAAAGTAATAAAACAAAGATGCATTTTACTGTGTCTTTCTGTATAGGATCAAGTATTGCTATAAGCAATTATGTACCTAGAGATAATTTATACTAAAAATGATCCTCAGGCATTCACATGACTGCAAGCCACAAGGAACAAAAGAAGGAAGGAAGAAAGGAAGGGAGGGAGGGAGGCAGGGAGGAAAGGAGGGAGGGAAGGAGGGAGGGAGGGAGGGAGGGAGGGAAGGAAGGAGAGAGGGAGTTCAATATATATCATGCAATAAATACAGAATTTATCACCAAAACTGTTGTGAGATGGATTCCCCACCCAAAATTTGGCTCAGAAGACTAGACTGATGGTGTCAAATATACACTAAAAGGATAGAAAAAGATTTCTTTACTACTCACATAATGGCATTTTCTGGGAGATTAGGTTAGGCCCCCAAGCAGGTCCAAAAATTCTCTTGAGAGGGTCAGGGGGGCAGCTGTTTTGGGATTTTGTGGTGGTGAGGGTATGGGGCTCGAATGAGGGTTCAAAACATGGGCATGGACAGGGAGTTTCATGATGTTAACTTTCCACCAGTGCCAAAGGAGAGAGAGAGTACCCAGATTTTCTTAACAGCTCGCCCAGATTTGGGACAGAAAGGGAAAGAGGCATGATGGGGCTTGAAAACTGTCCACAATCAAACATCAAAATGGAGTCAGATTTTTTTACAAACGTCAAGTAGATAATCCTAAAACGACTACTCCTGAATACTTTAATCCCAGCTCAGGAAGTGTGGGAAAACAAAGCAAATGCCTCTTGCCCCAGACTCGAATTTGAGTTACTGCCTATTGAGAAAATTTCATCGGTGTCACATTTACCTGGTCTCATGGTAATTGTTCTGCACAGTTTATCAAAAGGCTTAACCTACCTTAAAGGTAGATCCAGTCTTAATGAAGTTTCTCTCCAACACATTTTCCAGGGCTGGATCTAGTTCCTCCCCAACATCTTCGATCAGCAAGGGCCTTCCAAGAGAAAGACTGTCCTCCAGGTGGTTCCTGAAGTACTTGTGGTTTAGAGATGTGATCTAGAAACCAGATCAAAATGTGGCTCTTGACAGAGATATCACACTGCCATGCACAGAGATAACTCACAGAAAGCTGAGCCTAAGCATTCTGTCACCAGAGACAGGTACAGGGAAGTCAGGGATCCTTACTTGAAACCACAGTTAGTGTGAAGGGATACAGAAAGCTTAAACCCTGTCCATTATTTTGCTCAGCAGACCATCACTCCCCTTTACTGGGAAGCACGAAACATCTCTGGGTGGCAACACTGCCTTCCCCTCACCATCACTTTTGTGATAAATAATCCTATATAATAAAAGGGTAATATGCAAATTGTCCCTAAGGGCAGAACGACCAGGAACGACTGGTTGCTATGATGTGCACTGACCACCAGGGGGCATATGCTCAACACAGGAGCTGTCCCTGGTGGTCAGTGCGCTCTCACAGGGGGAGCTCCACTCAGCCACAAGCCAGGCTGATGGCTGCAATGGCAGTGGCAGTGGCGGGAGCCTCTTCTGCCTCTTCAGCAGCACTAAGGATGTCCAGCTGTGGCTTAGGCCCACTCCCTGGGGCGGACATCCCCAGAGGGTTCCCAGGCTGCCATAGGGATGTCTGACTGCCAGCTTAGGCCTGATCCCCCAGGGAACTAGCCTAAGCTGGCAGGTGGACATCCCCCAAGGGGTCCCAGACTGCGAGAGGGTGCAGGCCGGGTTGAGGGGCCCACCCTGACCCGAGTGCATGAATTTTCGTGCACCGGGCCTCTAGTCATAGAATAATTATGAAGGGCCCTTATAAAGTGCTGTCATTTGGCGTGACACAACTCCAGCCTGCTCTGTTTATCAAAGAGAGCCTTAGACACTAACAGAAGAGAGTCTGAGACCTTTGGAAGGTGGCATTAGTAGCAATCAATTCAAAGGCAAACAATGCAATTTTTAGAAATTATTTCTAAATATCAATATCTAAATACTAATATCTAATATTCTATATCACTTTGTAATGTACATAAATGTTGGATCATTATGCTGAATACCTAAAACTAATATAATACTATATGGCAGTAATTATAAATTAATAAAATAAACCAATAAGTAAATTTAAACAAAGAAAAGCTCTGTAAATAAGATAAAAGATAGATAGATAGATAGATAGATAGATAGATAGATAGATAGATAATAGATAGATATAGATATACAATTATTTCTAAATAACAAATATTTTATTATCCTTGGATACTTGTTGTTCTGGGGCAATAAAACTTGACTAGCAACATAAATATACTCAAACACAAATTACCTGGAGTTCATTTTGGCTTTCTTTATTTTTAATCCAGATCTTGCCTTGAGTCTGTGGATCAATTAACAACGGATAGCGAGATGCCTTTGTGACAATAATTCCGTTCTGAATGGATAAATCGTCATTTGGTAGGCCTTGGAGGTTCCATTCACTAATCGTAGGAGCATCAATCAACATCTCGTTGAGATTCAGATTGTCAGCAAATGGAATCTCCCGGGCTTTCATTTCCTTCTGCCAGTCATTTAACATCAGATTGCGAAATTCTTGGTTAAATGGACCAGAATAAGACAGAAAAGCCGTGGCCAACAATACATCCCCTAAAATGGAAAACAAACACCACTGAAATACTTTATGATCAGACTTGTACTTGTGTAGAATATTAAAAATAAAACCACCATTCTTTTAAACTAAATTCTAGAAACCAAACTGTAACCACATGTTGCTGTGTCTTGATGAATAAGCAGTAGTTTGGTTTACTGTTAAACAGGGTCCAAATGGTCCACCAAGGATTGGCTGCTATAATCAAGCACTGGAGAATTTTTACTCTTGTTGGATTTGGGAGGATGACTTCTGAGTTTAAGATACAAAGCTCAGAAGACAGAGCCTCTATTCAAAGTGACCTTGATCAATATCATCTTTCATTCATGGAATTTAAGAGTCCTGATAATAAGAGGCTTAAAGGTCATTAACACATCTAATATGGACTGTATAGATGTCAGACCAATATTCATTCTTCTGAAACACTGCAGACTCTCTTCTCTCTCTCTCTCTCTCTCTCTCTCTCTCTCTCTCTCTCTCTCTCTCTCTCACACACACACACACACACACACACACACACACACACACATACACACGTAGAACTTTAAAGTAATAGAGTTTGTACTTTGATAAAAGCTTAAATTTGCTAACTCCCTATCACAGTCAACACATAACCTCATTAACACAGGAATTTACATACCTACAAGTCTTTTAGTTTGTGCAGCAAACTCTTTACTCTGCTCTGTCCATCTTTCTTTTTCTCCTGCCAAGCCACCGATCAGTGCAGAGGCAGTCTGCATCTTACGTCTGCACCGCTCAGCATCTTCAAGCAAGGTCTAAAAAAGGTCGAAACCAGGAGAGAACCTTTGTTTAGATAAATACAGCCTCTGCCTAGAAAATGCAACTTGAAACATTATATATGATCTGCCTTTCTGAGACATGTGAGCCATTCATTTCCTGGAAAGCATAAGATTCAGTTCCCGTGTGCCTGTGTCTGCCTAAGCCTCTCTTTAGGGAACTTGAATGGATTTCTCGTGTGGGGCCCTGAGCCAACTGTCAGACCCTCCCTAGACATGAACAACTGAGAAATCATGGAAATTTGTATCATTTGTGATTTCTGTAAAAGAAAATCAGAAATAAAATACAAGCATGCATGCTAATATCATAAATCACACAAAAACCATAAAGAAATACATACTGGTATACTTATTTTAAAATTAGAAAAATTTCTGATGTTAAAGTTCCAGCATCATTATTGCTTTATCTACACTACATGTCCTTTCACATCAAGTGAAACTTGAGATTATCTTCAGATTGTGGGGTTCTGAAGCTCATTCTCAAACTCCAGGCACACTTGACTCAGCCGGTCCCTCCCTGCTGCTCCTTGTGTCAATAAAGTCCTTTAACCAGACTTCCACATACTGTTGCCATTGGATGCTTAGTTATTAAAAACAAATGGTTCTGATTCTATGTTTAAGAGACAACTGTTAATTCTACTTGTAAAAATGTATACTTATAAAGTAATGATAGATATAAAGATTTAGCTGTGTAACCAGTACCTAGAAGTTCATGTATAATATTTATATATATTTACATAATAATAGTTGACCCTTGAACAAAGTGAGGGTTGTGGAAACCAACTCCCTGAAATTGAATATTCATAGTAACTTTTGAATCCCCAAAAACTTAATTACTAATAGCATATTGTAGACGGAAAGTCTTACTGATAACATAAAGTCAACACATATTTTGTATGTTAGATGTTATCCTATATAATAAAGGCAGAGTATGCAAATTGTCCCCTCGACCAGGAGTCCGTCCAGGAGTTCGACCAGGAGGCGGGGCCAACCGGGGGAAGGGAGGGAGGCCCTTGTCGGCAGTGGTGGCAGGCAACTCAGGGAAGGGAGGGAGGCTCCAGCCAGTGGCAGCAGCAGCAAGCAGCCGGGGGGAAGGGAGGGAGTACCTGGCCGGCAGCCGGCAGCTGCTAGGGACCCTACCAGTGCACAGATTTCGTGCACTGGGCCTCTAATGTGTATATATATATTCTTACAATAAAGTAAGCTAGAGAAAAGAAACTGTTATTAAGAAAATCATAAAGAAGAGACAATACATTTACAGCATTATGTGTATTTATTGAAAAAAGCCATATCTAAGTGGACCCACGTACTTCAAATGCACAGTATTCAAGGGTCAACTGTATATGCGAAATATCAAACAATAGAGGATTATTTAAATAGATTATGGTATGTTGTGAATAAGAATACTCTGAAGCCATTAAAAAATAATCTCATAAAAATGTGTAATCATGATATATCATTAAGTTAAAAAATTCCATTTATAAAGCAGTATGTACTGAATTATCTATTACAGTTTTAAATAAATTTAAAATACATGTAATTCGAGGCATATGTTCAAATATGAAGTGATAAAGAGCAAAATATTTCTAGTGTCCTCTCCAGGTTACCTATGTGTATTCTCTATAAGGAACATGAATTGCTTTTGTAGTAATAACACAATACAGTGCTTTACAAAAACATGATATTTATTCAGACTGCCTAAAAGATTGTTTCAAACATTAAATAAGATAAAGTGGGAGGATCTGATTTGAAAAACATGAGAAAAGAATGCTACACAAGACACAGTTATCCTCCCCATTGCAGGGAAACTCAGAATGTTCACGTTCCAGAGCCGACTCCTATTTTGGCTGAACACCCTGACGTCTCACCAATGGTCCTTAGTGTCTGTTAGAAACAACATCACGCCTTAGTGAGGGATGATGTGCTGTGTTTGCATTTGTATAAACTCGATGAAGCCTTGATCTAAACCAAACCTCGCATAGAGAAAGCAAGAAAGGAATGAGGGATTGCCACAGTCCCTCCCATGCCAGGGGGCAGTTACCTGCTTTTCCGTCATGGCCTGTTCGTACTCGGCCTGCACCACATCCAGCTCTGCCTGCTTGTCGTCCAGCTCCGCCTGGGCCTTCTGCAGGTCCTGCATGGCCACGACGTAGCGATTCTCCTGCACCACCAGGTTGGCCTGCACAGGACACACAGGAGGTGTGGGGTGGCAGCAAAGCAAACATCCAGCACTTCAGAGACTGAGAACACTCCGTTATGTCTCCTGGTTATACCTGCTCTTAGGGTCTTTTCAAATTGTGTTAAGACCAAATCTTCACGTGAACTTGACATAAATGTTCGCAAGCAGAAAATTAGAATTCATTAGAATAGGAGTCAGCAATTTTTTCCCATATTTTACGCTTCCGGGGCCAAAAGGTAAAATTAAGGCCACCAATGTCTATGTGTCAACCCTGTCTCTTTTACAGAATTCCTGACACAAGACCTTGGGATTCTGTGCTATAGTTTTCTGTGTTTCTTTCTCTTTTTTTACTTTTATCTTTTTTTTTTTTGAAGTTGACAATGTATAGGAAACTACCAACAGCCCACATGGGCTTAGTTTTCTTACAGAACGTCTGTGCCTAAAGGCTCACACCGTTCTGATTGGAGCAGGATTACAGAGAAGAAAGAAACATCTTGTGTGCAGCCTTTCTGTCACTTGCTGTCCCCATGGACCTGAGTACAATAATACCAAAGGCTGAAAACTCCTGGGCTGTGTGAAAAGTCCTAGAGACCCCTCACAGGCACGTATCATGCAGCTCTACCCAGAAGGCTTACCTTCAGAGGCAACACTTCTCTGTTTATAGAAAAAAAGGACGCCATGGCTTTGGTCCAGGAGCAAAGACCGGCCACATTCCCACATACACGTTTAGCAGTTTCGATGTTGTAGTCTGCCATTTCAAAGTAAGGACCTAAAAATTCTATCACTTCTTCATTGATTGTGTCTTTTGGGAATTGCTATGGGAAAAAGGCGTAAAATTAAGTCAAATGCTTCCTGTCATGAAGTCATATTCACATTATGCTCACAATGCTATTGAACACTGAAATGGAAGAATGACATTATATTTTGTCGATATTTTAGGATATTAGACAAAAGTCCTAAAGGTGAAAGCAGAGTAAGCAATCACAACAAAGAAGTCAGAATACACTTTGTCTTCTATGGACAAGATATACCAACCCTAAATAAATTTTCTGCTACTCAAGGAAAAGGAAAGTATTTCAGTGATGAACACTAAAATGGTTATTAGAATTTCAGAAGCAATAAAATTTTCATGTCATTAATCCTAAATAGGTAAATTACAAACCTGTAAAATCAACAATGGAAAACAAATACACCAAGAGATATTAAGCCTAAGGACATATATATTTAGCATTTAGCAGCAACTAAATCCTTAATACATTCAGACAGAGGTTCTATTAACTCGCCTGAAATATGCAGATAATAACTTAGACATTAGGCCTTGAGGGTGATGAATTAATTTTTAATCATAGGACTATCAAGAATATGAAAGAATTGTTATCTTCTTGAGGAATAAAAAATTTTAAATAGTAGCAGAAATGTATCAAGAATACCTTCTTACATCAAGAGAAAATACTGATCAAACAAGGACTTTGGACCTTTTAAAAGTGGTGTTTGATCATCTAAAAGAGGATGATTAAATGTTTTTCAAGTAGAAAAAAAAATTGGTGCCTAAATAACTCAGTGAAACAAGCCTTCACAGAAGAAATGTAATGTGGGATAAAACACAATCTCATTCAGACCTGTTTGAAAACAAGTTTCTCATATTTTAATTGTCTGGGATAAGTCTGTGTGGCCCACTAGTTTCATAAGCTACTTATTGTTATAGCTGCTGTAAGATAACGTAGCCACAGTAGCCACTGGGCAATGCTGAATTAAAAACTGAATGAAAGATAGTGCTAAAGTTATCACTTGGGAGGTGGATGTGGGTTGAGTATTCCCAATTAATTGTCTCAAGATCTAAATATGACAGATAAAATTTCTAGAAAAAAAAACTCAGAAGCATTTATTCTGCCTTAGAGGTGGGCAAAGATTTCCTAAACAGAGTGCAGAGAGCACTTAAGGAAAATATTGAAAAATTGGACTACATTACTAGTAAAGTTAAGAACGTCTGCTTATCAAAATACACTATTAATGGAATGAGCAACTAAGGTAGGAAGTGGGAGAAGATAGTTGCAAACATATAAATGATAAATTACTCATGTTTTATATATGAAGAAATTCTACAAAGTGATAAAAATTTGAACGACCAACCTGTAGGTTCTGTAAAAAGTTCCCTGCAGTCATCAGTTTTAAAGATTCCTGCCAGGAAGGAATTGTACAGCTTTTTTCCGGGTCAATTTTCACTGCATTGACTTTCCTTTGAAACAGCAGCAGCACACAATCCATGATCCTCATGATGAGGTGAGGGGGCCGGCCCAGCGTGCGGACGGTGGCAATGTCCGAAGGCTTGATGGTCTGGGGGAGGAAAGGAGGTTAGCATCCAGTCTCAGATGAGAAAGTGCGGACAAGCCTTTCATCTCTAAATGCTACGATTCTGACAGAGGAAAACAAGCATTTTTAAACAGATGCAGTCATGGGGGCTAGATGTGTATTTACTCCCAAACAAACCCATGTCCCCAAAAGTTCCAATACTGAGCGGATAAGCTGTGACTTCCCTAAAACTGTACAGACCACTTAGTGTCAGAAAAGAGAAGAGTGTAATCTGAAAGAAAAAAAAGAATCGTCAGCACTTATGCAGATACCAGGGACCCTCCACCAGGAAAACTCCAGTATTTGCAGTGCTTTTTGACGCATTAGTTATGTAGGTCAAGAATCTGCCTCTCTCTCTTAAGTAACTCTGACTTGTCACAGTGGACTGACACTAGCGGGTAGCCCCGGGGCTGACAGATTGAATAATTAGAGGTTTCTTAGCTGGAAACTGACCTTTAAGTGACAGAACTTGAGCAATAAGAATTTCACTAAGCTGTTAGAAAAGTTCTGTTCCATTTCCAGTACAGAGATTCTTATGGCATAAATTATTTAATAGTCACATAGAATCATTCTGGTTGATGGTAACTGGCTCTCTCTCTCTCTCTTAAACTCTTTTTGGAATAAGTAGTGGTAAATATTAAATATAAAAATCAGATATGGTACACTCTTTAGACAAATAGTGTACATCCATTCCTCCCAGATCTTGAAAACCTTCCATCTTATCTGCATCTGCATCCCTCCTGCCAAAGAAGGGATGGTCATACCCAATGACCTTCTCATCAAAGCTAATGATCTTTTCTCCAAGGACTGAGAAAGGAAAGAAGGAAACCACTAAACTTGATAAGCAGGAATGTAACTATATACTTTGAAAAGATTTGTTTCAATAGACTAGTATTTGTGAAAGCTAGACAGCAGGAAGTGAAGAAGAATTGGGAGGGGAGAGGAACAACATCAGAGATGGCAGATCGATCTTTCTTTGAGATGTGTGGCTATAAAAGAAAGGAGAGAAATATAATAGCAGCCAATGGGAAATGCAGGGTCAAATTAAAGTTATAAAAACCTTAAGAGCTGAACATGCTTATTTTACTTTAGCTTTAGAAAGGGGAATTTTCAAACAGAATTGGGTACCTAGGTAAAAGAAGTTGGAGAGAAGGTTATAAATGAAATTAAAACTATTTCAGCTAAGTATTGAAATCCTCTCTTCTCAGCATGCAAAGCAATATGACTGTTATATAATTCCCATATATCATTGCAATATAATAGTTATTTAACATCTGGAGGCATTTTGTATGTTTACGTCGAGCAGATTAGCATTGAGATAGGAAGAGACACATTCTTTGCTGTTACCTTATTTGTTGTATCGATTTATGATGCCAAAATGTTAGAGTTTGGATGTACCTGGAACTTTCTTTGTATACACTGGTAGTACCATATTTCAAGATTTCAAAAGCTCCCAAAGAGGCAAAAAGATGGAGACAGAACCAATGAAAGAAATTAATAAAAATCATCTTGCACAACCCCGATCATCTTACCCCAGTTCCCACACATTTCTGCACTGATGATTACATAATGCAGGATCATTTATTGACAGAGAGCATTAAATTAGGAGGATACTGGAAAGTACTTTATAATATTAAAAGAGATGCTAAGCCTTTGAAGTCTTAGGAAAATGCAGGACTTTAAGCAAAACCTGAGATGCCATATGCTCTATTCCTATGATGCCATTAGAAATTATGAGTTCAATAAAGGTTTAGAAGTTTCTTTACACTGTCATTGTCTTCTCTCTGTTAATCAGACACTTTCAGAGATGCTCAGATGCCTAAAAGAGGTTCGGGAGAGGATAAAGATCAGGATCTCATCCTCAGAGATATCTGCATCCCATGTTCACTGCGGCATTATTCACAATAGATATGAAAGCAACCTGAATGTCCGCCGATAGGTAAATGGATAAAGAAAATGTTTTGAATTATAAGACATATAATTCAGCCTTTAAAAAGAGAAAGAAATGCACTTATGACATGAATGGATCTAGAGGACATTACGGTAAGTGAAAAAAGTTAAACACAAAGATAAATACTGTAGGATCTCATTTATACGTAGAATCTAAAGTGGTCAGACTCATAGAAGCAGAGTAAAATGGTAGTTGCCAGGAGTTGAGGGGGAGGAGAAATGAGGAAGTGATGGTCAAAGAGTACAAAGTTTCAGTCATGCAAGATAAATAAATTCTAGAGATGTAAACAGCATAATGCCTATAGTTAACAATACTGTATTATATACCTAAAATTTGTTAAGAGGATAGATCTTATGTTGTATTCTTACCATAAATAATGATAATATTAAAGGGAGCAGGAGGAAACATTGGGAGGTGATAGATATTTCTATGGCCTTAGGTTGTTGATGGTTTCATGGGTGTATACTTGTCCCCAAACTCATCAATTTGTACACATTAAATAGGTACAGCTTTTTGCATGTCAATCATACCTCAACAAGAGGAGAGATGAGGTGCCCATCAATCTGACAGACTGGAGACCCTGAGGACTTCAAGGTCTAAGGAAGACAGTGCATGGTGGAATAGTGAAGCAGCAAGGAAAGGCATGTCTAATATAAGTGCAATGTAAAAAGTTGGAGAAATAAAAGAGAAGGCAAGATCTAATTCATATCTACACTAATAAAAGAGAAACATGGTAATTGGCGTACGACCGCTACCCTTCCCATTGGCTAATCAGCATATCCTTATGCAAATTAACTGTCAGCCAGGATGGCGGCCGGCAGCCAGGCAGCTGGAAGCAAGCAGGGAGGCTCACTTGCTCCAGTGACTGCAGACGCCAACGTTCCCCGCCTAACTTGCCGGCCTCTGAGTTGCAACTCTAAGCAACTATGTACTATGTTGCAAATGTAGAAGCTAAACAAAAGCCCAGAAACCAGCTTTCAGCCTGCCGGGATCTCAGAGCTGAAGTTATACATTGTTTCGATTATAGAACGGCAAACAAACCAGATACGAAGCCTCAGAGCTAGAGCCAGAGCTAAAGCTGGCCCAGAATAAAATAAAAAAAAGAGAAAAAAAAGGAGCGGTTGGAAGCTTCAGTCAACAACCGCCAGCCTGAAAGCAGCCCTCAGCCCCTCACCCAGACTGGCCAGGCACCCCAGTGGGAACCCCCACCCTGATCCAGGACACCCTTCAGGGCAAACCAGCCAGCCCCCACCCATGCACCAGGCCTCTATCCTATATAGTAAAAGGGTAATATGCCTCCCAGCTGCATGTCAATCATACCTCAACAAGAGGAGAGATGAGGTGCCCATCAATCTGACAGACTGGAGACCCTGAGGACTTCAAGGTCTAAGGAAGACAGTGCATGGTGGAATAGTGAAGCAACAAGGAAAGGCATGTCAAATATAAGTGCAATGTGAAAAGTTGGAGAGATAAAAGAGAAGGCAAGATATAATTCATATATTGCATATTGACTCAGAAAGCTTAAAGCAGTGATTCTCAACCTTCCTAATGCCGTGACCCTTTAATACAGTTCCTCATGTTGTGGTGACCCTCAACCATAAAATGATTTTTGTTGCTACTTCATAACTGTAATTTTGCTACTGTTATGAATCATAATGTAAATATCTGATATGCAGGATGTATTTTCATTGTTACAAATTGAACATAATTAAAGCATAGTGATTAATCACAAAAACAATATGTAATTATATATGTGTTTTCTGATGGTCTTAGGCGACCCCTTGTGAAAGGGTTGTTCGACCCCCAAAGGGGTCGCGACCCACAGGTTGGCGACCCACAGGTTGAGAACTGCTGGCTTAAAGACTTAATTTGGATCAAAAAGTTCCAGAAATTTTTCCGGAAATGTACTAAGGAACTTGTAAAAAAGTAACAATTACATTATCAAATAATGGTGCATGCTCAGTTGAGGTTATGTAACTTGAATTAGCAGTAGACACATCAGCAGCTTTTCCCTTTCTCCAGCAGCTTTTTAGGCCAAGAATCAATAACATAGGCAGTAAATGAGTAAGACTGAAGTAAAAGCAATCTTAAATTGAGCCCCCAAAAATCTTAAATTGAGACTTCAAAACTGGACCAGCCCTTTAGGGTATGGTCTAGTTCAGTGGTCGGCAAACTCATTAGTCAACAGAGCCAAATATCAACAGTACTTCTTCAAAATAGACTCGCCCAGCCCGAAAACCGACTTCTGCGCATGGGCCACGAAGTTTCGATCACACTGTATGTGCGCCCGCACGTGGTATTTTGTGAAAGAGCCACACTCAAGGAGCCAAAGAACCACATGTGGCTCATGAGCCGCAGTTTGCCGACCATGGGTCTTCTAGTTCATACTCATCATATTTACTCAGAATCCAACCTCCTTTCTAATTGCACTATTTGTTATTGCTACACAATTGAATCAAATATTTGTTGTGGAAGCCTGCTCAAACTCTGACATTAATGAGCTACTTAGATCAGTAGTTTGTCATATGGATAATTCATAGATAAACTCAGAGAATGTTATGGCTTACAGACCCACTCCTGTGTCAAGAAATGAGTGAGGAAATAATATTTGAGCAATTTTATGTGTCTTTCCCAATGTCACATAGCTTATTGGTAACAGTGAACATGAGAACCAAGGATTCCTGACTGCCATGATATGGCACTGCCCATCAATCAATCATGAGTGAGGAAAAGAGATGGGAAGTAGCACGTGCAAAATATATAAAGAGCTAGTAACATCTCCAAGCAAAAAAAAATATTACTTGAAGTTGTTACCACGGAGAGCACTTTGGTCTGAAGCATTTCCTGTTGTTACTTGTCTTTTCTTAGTTTTCCTCCTTGGCCCTATGCTTGACATCTGTTATATCGCACATTTACCTGCAGGGCTGCTTCTGCTTCTTCTAACGCTGGTTTGGCTGCTTCCAGTTTCTCTTCTGCAATGGCTTTGTCCTTAGAGATGCCGTCTACAATGGCTTGTGCTTTGTCCTTTACCTTCTGTACCTCAGCCTTCACCTTCTCGGCAGCCTGTGCCTTCATCGTCACTTCTTTTAAGACCTAATTCAATATACAACGAACAAACAAAAAAGCCTCGTCAAAAACTAGACCCAGCTGAAAGGGCACATTTTTGCCTTGGTTTCTTGATTTTGCCCACTTATACAATTTTTCATACATAAAACTAAGAGTATTCTATGGTAATGGAAATAAGTATTTTTCACTTTCGTGGCTATAACTTAGCAACTTGCATATCTGTATATCATTAACATTTGTGAACCAGGAATTCAAAATAAATGTGGTACACATGTGAATGTCCACCCACCGTGTCAGCTTTATAGTTTGCCACTTGTAGCTCCTTTTCTTTCACTTCCAGTTCTTTGCTCAGAGCTGCAACAGACTCTGAAGCTTCTTTTAGCTTTTTCAATCCAGTATTCATTCTGAGATTGAAAATCCAAGAAAGCAATGTTAATTTTGTGGTAGCTGGCCACATTTTCCAAGTGGTCTATATTACAGATAGTAATGGCCATATTTGAAGACTGAGTATACATACAAACAGCAAATCCAGCAGGGCTTGATAAAAAGGGATGGGTCCAGGCTTGATTCCAGCCTAAAGACATTGGTGTGTTTTCCATAGACTTTGTGTGGGAAGAGAGAACCTGCTGAAAATATTCTGTATGACCAGCCAGTGTGGCTCAATGGTTGAGCATCGACCTATGAACCAGGAGGTCACAGTTCAATTTCCAGTCATGGCACATGCCCTAGTTGCAGGCTAGATCCCCAATAGGGGACCTGCAAGAGGCAGCCGATCAATGATTCTCTCTTTATCACTGATGTTTTTATCTCTCTCTCCCACTCTCTTCCTCTCTGAAATCAATAAAATATATATATTTTTTAAATATTCTGCCTAACATGAGGAAAATCAGTGGATCTAGCATTTGTATCCTGCAGGAAACATGTTTAATGAAGTTTAGTTAAATGACAATAGACTTCAAATGTTTGAAGCCTATCATGGAGGAAGGAGAATCAATGACTTCCACTTTTTGAAAGAGACCAATGAGCCCTAGCTAGTTTGGCTCAGTGGATAAAGTGTCAGCCTGTGGACTGAAAGGTCCAGGTTTCAATTCCAGTCAAGGGCACATGCCCAGGTTGTGGGCTCAATCCCCAATAGGAGGCTGCAAGGGGTAGCCAACCAATGATTTTTCTCTCATCATTGATGTTTCTATCTCTCTCACTTCCTCTCTCAAATCAATAAAAATATTTTTTTTTAAAAAAAGAGACTAATGGGGTTAAAAACAGAAAGATTTAGGATCAAGAGGAGAAATGAATTTAAAATCATCAGAATAACATTGTGAAGGGACTAGCTACCTGCCTGAGCCTGAATTAATGCATCTTAAAGACTGGAGCCCTCAGAGTTATTTAGTATAATCACTCACCCAGGTGTTCCTCATGTAACAACCCAGGCTGATTCTGTCCATATTCAGGCAGAAGATGTAAGTGGTCAGAAAAAAGTAGGGTAGAGAATGAAATCAGCGAAGTAGGTATTCACTTATATACAGTGAATATAAGCAGCAAACAGAGTATCCTAGATACTCGGAAAGGATAGCAAGAGAGGGAGGAGGGAATGTCTGGGTCCTCAGCTTCCTTCCAGATCTAATATTTCTATAATTATGTCAGTCAATATTAGACAAAGTGGTAGGCCACATAAACACTTGGCAACATTTTTTCCTATTGGGCAAGAATAAAGCCCCTAGCAGCCATAAACCTTTGAACAGGCTTGAGAGAAGGGTTTCTCAACCCTAGCACTGTTGGCACTTGGGGCTGAACAATTCTTTGAAGTAGAGGTTGTCTCATGCACTGAAGGATGTCTAGCAGCAGCTCTGACCTCCACTTATTTGATGCCAGGAGGACTGCTCCACGCCCCCATCACTGGAGTTTTAACAAACAAAAATGCCCACTAGAAGTAAATTTGCCCTCGTTGAGAGTGACTGCTGTAAAATAACTCCATATTTGAACTTCACACTTACCTGTTGGCCAGAGTTTGCACTTCCACATGCTTCTCTCCATATATGAACTTGTAACCCTGAATGAAGGACAGATATGACTTGGGAGTCACGTGGGTAGAACGTCGGAATCTCTGGAAATAATCAACACACTTCTCAGCTACCCCATCCTGGAAGGAGCCCATGCACTGGACCACTTCCTTCTTGGTTTTCAGACTGCAGTCAATATCATAGGAAGAGAGGAAGTGTTCAGACACTAGAAAGAAAGAATAGAGATGACAGCATGTGAAATATGAACATGAATTACCATGATAAAAGTTACCTGGCTATTTTTAAAGACTTAGTTATTTCTTAGGACTCCATACCATTTTTAGCACTAACCAAGTAGATATAAGTCAGAATTTTTGGTCCCAGGCTATGACATCAATAATTTTATTTTCCATTTCATGTACAAAACTATCACAGACTTTAAGTCTATCATCACGCTTTGTTTTCTGGTACTTATGCAAAGAAGTCTCTTCTACACAGCTGCAGCTTCTGGTCAGCAACCAGCCTGTTGTATAACCATACATATATAAGGACAAAAGTGGTACAAATAACTCAGAAATCAGTGCCCACCTGGTACTCATATTTAACAATCTCATTTTTTTTCACTCAGAACCTGTCAAACTCTTATCCCTCACACTCTGACTGCATTTGGCTGTGGATTGTTCACCACTATTTTTTTTATTCTTGGGCCAATTTGTTCTTAAATGTAGCAGCTAGTCATTTGCAGTCAATTCTAATTTGCAGCATCATTTTAAAATGTTTGGGTAAAACCTCCTGTTGTTCACTTTTATCTTCCCAACAGTGCCAAATACAGGACCAGTTCTAAGACAGCATTTCCTATTATAAGAATAGGCCACAAAGTCAGAGCTAATCAATCACACATACATATTAAGTGTCTGCTACACACCCACCGCTGTGTGGTGCCATGGAATAAAAGAGGAGGAGGACACTTGGTCTCAACACCAAGGAACTTTAAAGGGTTTCATATAATGCAGTTAAATCTTATCATAACCATTTTTATGAATCTTAGAAAAGATGGCCTACGGATTTGCTTTAAAAAAGACTTAAAATATTGAATAGCGTACGTAAGAGTTGCAAACAGAAATACGGCCAATAAAAAGGAAAATAAATAAAAGGAATGAAGTGAACAAACCTATCAGGTGATAGTTGGCAAAGAAATAAAAGTGGCATCTTTTCACCAATAGTAACTGATCACTAAATTAATGTGGTCACTGTGGAGCAGCATCTACATCTATGCAAGTAACAGAGACTGCTTATCAGTGTGAGATCGATGGGAGGCAGGTAAAGAGGAGGAGAGACCATTAGAAAGCTATTTGGGTTTCCCAGGTGAGTGGCAGTGATTGCTTGGCCTCGGGTATCAGTGAAGGAGAAAGAGTTGAGTAGATTCCACCAATATTTAGAAGATAAAGTTGACATGACTTGATGATGGAATAGATCTGAGAGTCGAAGGCTGAGAGGTGCTAAAGACTAGAGATCTCTGATTGCAGTTTAAGGGACGATGATGGGACCTCCTGGGAGAGAGAGGCCAGAGGAGAACCAGTTCCGTTTCAAACATATTGAGTTTAAGGATCCTGTGAAACATCCAAGACAGTGCGTCAAGTAGGCAGTGAAGTGCACTGATTTCAAGCCAGAGGAGAGACCACACTGGAGATAAAATTGATGAGGCATATTATGTCAGAGGCTGTGCATGAGCCTGCTGGGAGGAGAATCTGGAGTGAAGAAACAAGTCTGTCTTGCCCTCCCACATGCCTGGCTCAATACACTCAATAAACACGTTCTGAATAAATGAGCAGATAGATAGATGCATGCATGAAGGTCAGAACACTTGCAAGGAACTGAGGACACAGAAATGTAAGTTTCCCTGACCATGTAATCTTGGCTTGAGTTGATGCCATGAGATTTAAAACTATGGGACAGATTTGTGAGAAATAAACAAAGGTAGAATCAATAAGACCTCTGTCTTGTGAAAGAAGGGATGATCAAAACATGGACTTGGCAGAAAGGGCTCCATATTTAAATTAAATGATCTTAATTATGGTGTATTATTGTGATTGTCATCTGAAATTATTTTTGTTAATAATAGTACCTTACATGATAGTTTACAAAGTACTTGCATATTAATGATTACATCTCATAGTAAACTTTAATATAGCATAGCTCTTAAATACTGTCATTTTGTGCACTGCATTCATATCCGACTTCGAGGAATTTTTAAGTTTACACTAATAGGACTTAAATTTTACATCACTGGCCTTTTCTCAACCGTTATATGACAAAAGAGAAAACTGTACAGTTGTCCTTCAAATATATTAAAATCACACATTGGAAAATCATAATTTTCAGTAGTAGCATCTTAAAAACAAAACTTCCCCAGTGGATGAGTTTGTTTAAAATATAGATATGGCTTCTAGTCAAAATATTGATGCTACTGTTTTCTTATGCCTCTGACAAGTCCCTCAGCTCATCATGCCCAGTTGCCCCTCCTATAAAAGACAGGAGACACGCTAATGAGTCATTCTCTCACTGGGTACCACAGAGCTGGAGAGCAGGTGAGGGAGGCAGGAGTGAGGTGGGGTGAAAGAGGAGGCTCCACTTTTCACTGTTTTACCTACTATGGCTACCTGTGAGGTTTTACTGGGATAGAAGACTCTTCTTAATTTTAATTAGTATTAAAATACAATAATCAGAGAAAAAGTTTGACAGCCACTACCATTGAATCAGGGTTCCCCTGAGGTTCTGATGCAGTAGGTCAGAGGTGAAACCTAAGTATCTCCACCACCTAAAATATCCACAGATAATTTCTCATCAAAAGCTGGGAAAGACCTTGAACTAAATGAGTGCTCTCTAATATCTCCTTTCCTACTTTTATGTTCAATCTATTCACAGAGTAAGAGAAGCATTAATGTCCCATAGGATGGACGACTAGACAGAAGCAGCAGCAGCAGGGACCCCAGCCACAGAACACTCTGGTTATCATCCTTTTCTAAGGACAGACACCGTCAGAGGATTGCTGGATAATGATTTCCAATTTAATATCCAGCACTGCAGCCACAAAAAGAAACACCCATGAGACACTTGGCTTAAACTACTCATAGGTTGGCCAATCCACCGATGAAGGAACAGAAATGCTATCAAATTAAAAATCTTAGTGGCTTCCTGTGACATTCCAGAGCCTGCCTGCGACCCACTTGAGACATAGTTTCAGAACTAGAACACTGTCCATTAACCCAAAGGGGTACAGGCTGGAGATCTCACACACACACACACACACACACACACACACACACACACACACAACCATGCTTTGGGAAAAATTAGAAAATTTATCCTCTAACCTTGGACAAAGTGACTTTTGACTCAATCCAGTACAGTGACAGCACACAGCACAGGATGTGAACAAACACTGGAAACCAGACACTTCGACATAAGACTTCTCACCACACTAACCAGCAATTAAGGCGTCCTTCGGCCATCGGCTGAACCAGTCAACAGTGCATCCTGAAATCAGGGCAGGGAACTTCAAAGCTCGATTTCGAAATTTCTCCCCCACCGGCGAAAAGCAGAGCACAATGTGGAGGTTCTGCCGGACCCGACTCATGAAGTACTCATACAGGTTCTCGTTGGTCGGAGGACGTCTGGGGTGTTCTCTTTTCATGACTGGTATGAGATCACTGTTAATTTCATCAACTTCATCACGAGCAAATAGGTTGGAGACCTGAAAAAAGTGCAGACATTCAAATTCAGTACAGACCTATGGAAACAGATGGAAACGGGTAGCTCGATTTGTACAATGTCTTTCTTCCATGTGTGTTCTTAAACTCGCCTTTAGGAAATTAACCAACACCCTTCAAGATGAGATACACCACTTTTTAAAATACACGAGCGATTCTATTATTCACTACAAAGTCATAGCCTGTTCTTATAACCTCCCTCTTCTGTTTTTTCATTTTTCACTTGGAGCACTCATTGAGGTTTTAAATGGATAGCTCCACATTTAGGGGGTTTTATTCTCCAAAAACCCAATAGAAAAAGCCATTCTTTATACTGATCACCGAACCCCCAATAATAGCACTTATTCAAAACTCTCATGCAAGGAAATACAGACAGCACTAAAGTTGGAGGTAATCTGAAGAGACAAAATACATGAACAATAAATGAGCGCCTACCTCACCCGATGATAAAACGTTGTTCATATATTCCAAAAATGACTCATCCTTAATCTCACTGTCCGTGAAAATAAAAGTGATTCCTTTGCCTTGCTGACCAGCTGTTCTATACAAAATTTTCAGGTCTTCCATCAGATTTGATGTGTTGTAGGATCTAAGGAAATATTGTCATTGTGTCATTAACTAAATTATTTTGATGTGAAGGAAAGATCCTTAAAACAATGCTTTATGCCATTTAATTAAGCAAAAGAATGCTGATATTATTGCATCAGATGGGCATTTAAATGTAAGTGAATGTTACAGGTTCATTATATTTACTTACAAATATTAAACTTGTTTTTAAAATTTCCTTTCAGTTTCTAATAGCTATTCCGTAGGGAGTAATAGAAGTGCAGCATCTTGGTAAAGTTTTGAGTACTTTGCTGTTTACTAAAGTCAAGAACTATTTTTTTATTGAGGCTTAATTGCTGTATAACACTATACTAATCTCAGGTATACAACATAATGATTTGTGTGTGTGTGTATATATATATATAGTGAAATAATCACAATAAGTCTAGTTAATATCGAGTAACACATTTACTTGCAAAGATAAACTTGATTTTTAAAACTCCACATTTTGTGAAGCATTATAATTAATGTTTTACACACAAAAAAGAGATCTAGAGTGAAAAGTAAACCTGGAACAAAAATGTACTGTTTACCACAACTAAATGTCACCTGGATGTGTTTATGTTTCCTTTTGAAAATATTTTTGGTAATGATAATAGAAGAGACAAATTGGAATATATACTAAGCACCATCTGCAATTATATTTTAGAAGATACCTCACAAATTAAATCAAACTAAACTAAATCATTTCAAGCCTTCATGATATGGGATGAGGGAGATGCCCTATTATAAACAGTGGCCTCCTCATCCCTAACACAATTATTCTCAATACATCTTTGGATCCCACATGAAAGGGTTTGCTAAGCAATCAGTACACTGTAGTAGAATAGGTAGAAACATTATAAAATATTCCAATATAAATCTTTCACTGTCAAAAGCAATACTTTGATGAAAATTAGCTTGCAATCATGAAATGTTAGAGAGGTCCCAGTACAGAGTAGCCCATTAGCACCAAAAATGAAAATAAAAATATTCCAGCCCTGGAGACTCAGACTTACTAAATTATTATTTGAATTCTGTGTCATTAAATAAACTCTGAGTTCAGAGCACAAGAGCAAATAGCCTTCTGATTTTTTTTAAGCTACGAAATATTTAACTTCTATACTCTGTGCTTTTTTAACCTCTATAACCTAAACCCTAGAACCAGAAGTACCACTACCATGCATCAATATTTTAAAAAGACTTCTAGAGAAGTGAGATCTGAGAGATTCAAATTTTAAAAAACAGTCCCCCCTTAACAAATGGCCATGCTTTCCAAACCTGAGGCTCTTGCTCCTTGACCTTTGGCCACATGGCTGTGCAAAGGCTTAGCAGCAGGATGGTCTCTTGAAGACTATGAGAAAGCAAGGAGGCCTTGACACCCTTTTCATCAGTAATGGAGCATTCCCAGTATGACATGCAGAGGAAATAGTTTTTCATGAAGAGGGGAGTCATAAGATTTTTTACCATGGCAGTGGGTGTAGTGAAAGTCAAGGCAGACCAGAAACCAGTAATATTGTAATCAATTCCCAGGTAGATCTGGGATTTCCAGTAAGACATTGCCTCTTGGAGTCTCAGCTATAAAAGAGGCTAATCTACAAAGTGCTTTTAAAGATTGAAATAGCTTTGTGCATGTATCTATGGACTTCCATCAATGAGACAAGTTCAGCTAAATGCTTTCCCTATTGTGCCAAGCCACAGCTCTATATCAATGACCAATAGGCAAGACTTTCTGCTCCTATACCTAGAAATTAACCTCTAATAATTTTTAACCCAACTAAACTTCCCAAACTGGCCTGCTGCTTCTCATCTTCATTAACTCTAAAATTCTGTTTAGCATCTCTGCATTACCCCTGCTTATCTCTTCATGTTGACTTTTCTCTTCATAGTTCTCCCTGTACCACACACATATATCACATATATCTGATGACAACCCTCCTGGGGTTCCCCATCTTGATGAGGAGCAGTACCACTTACCTAGTTTCCCAAGCCAGAACCAGGATAGACCAAATCCAAAAGCTCAACTTCCTAATAATCTCTTGAATATGTCTGTCCTCTTTGCTCCTTTCTCACTGCTACCACTCACTGCACTACCATCTCTTGCCTGGATCCCTGAGACAGCCCTATACCTGTTCTGGTTTAGCTCCTTCCACCTGTTTTCTGTACTGTGCATACAAATCTGACATGCTTCCCTCAGTGGTTAACTCATTAATGGTTTCTTATTGCTCCAGGATAAAGTCCAAATCCATATGACACTTTCAAAGGACTCCATTTCTCTTCCTTTCCCCACCTTATATATCCTCTAGACTATATACGCAGAATACCCAGATATATTTAACTTCTTCCAGAGCCTCGAATGTGACTTCACATGTTCTGATTTTTTTGCCTGGAACATTCTTTACTGCCCCTCTTCTGTGAGATAATTTTGAGTCATATTTAGGTCTTAGTTGAAACATGTCTTCCTCCAGGAAGCCTTTTCCAACCATCACTTAGACTAGGTTAGGAGTCCTCCCCCTGTTTCAACAACACCGGGTCTGCATTTATTTCCTTATCATAGATAGCACCTATGTATCATATATATCGATTGAGTTGCTCACCTAACTGTCCACCTTGAATTACTGTAAACTCCGTGATAACACAGGTCAGGTTTACCTTGCTTACCATGTACTCCTCAGTACCTCGCCAGTGCCTGACACATAGGTGGTGTTCAATTAATATTTCTGAATGTCTGAATAAGTAAATCTGTATTATTTTTCATCTACTTTTCCAGTTTATTAATATTCTTGAAATCTGAATTAACATTTAGTAGGGATAAATTTCCTCTGAGATGCACTAAAAGGAATATACATAATACCCGCATCATGCATAACATAAAGACAAAGCCAGCTATTCACCACAATGAGATGCTGAAATGTTTCAAAAGCAAATTATTAATGTGAAATCTTCACGGTTCATAACAGAAGTTGAAATGGAAAGATGATAAGTCAACAATGAAGAAGAAAAACTATTGTGATTTTTTTATGTATAAGCAAAATGCATTCTTTTTTTTTAAATTTTGTTTTATTGCTTAAAGTATTACAAAGAGTATTATATATGTCTCCTAGCAAAATGCATTCTTAACTTCAGGTGGCCTCTGAGAACTGTTTATCAAATCCATTTATGGTTAATTAAAGTTAAACCTTGTTACCTTGTCAGTGTGATCTGGAAGAAAGTATAGCCAGCAATGAACGAAGCCAACCTTGTCAGGCTTTGCTTTCCCGATCCACCAACCCCAACTAAGAGGGCATTTCCCCGGGGAGTGCGAATGATGCGTGAGATCTAGAATATGGAACAGAAAAAGCATATATCATCCAACATGTAAATATTCCATTTTTTCCTACTTATTCTACATAGCATTGTGGAAGATGTACATTTCTCAGGGTCAGAACGGAGAGGGATAATGGTTGGAGGAACAAGGGCATTACTGAAATAGAACAGTGTTTAGTAATATTGAACAGAGTAGGAAATGTGGGGTGTGCCTTTAGGAAACTAGAAAGAGACCAGTGTAGGTAAGTCAGCAGTCAGCCCCGACTGTGGCTTGCCCTGGGTCTTCAAGAAGAGAAACAAAGAAGACTTAAAGGTTTCCTTTAGTTTGCCCAACCTACTGCAGTGGGATAGGGAAAAAAAAGAAATTTCAAAACATGTACCTTTGGAATACAGATCCCACAATTGATTAGAATATCCTCCACATCTGAAATATGACAGTTTAAGTTGAAGAGAAGAAAATTCCCCAAATATGGCATAGATACAGAATTTACTTTTAAAGAAGAAAATAAGCATAACACCCTCTTATTATTTGGCCAAGACAGTGATATCTAAGATATCTACCAAGAAGTGCCTATGGGTTCACCAACCAGAAGTCCACTCTATTCCAGTCAGTAGCCCCAGACCATTCCAACTCCCCATTGTGATAAAAGTTCATATTTCTTTGGCTTTTACTGGTATTGAATGAACTACTTACACCATCAGGCCTCCAATCCCACCTAGAGGGAATTCAGTGCACAATTCTCCTTGATGCATTCTTCACCTTGTATGATAATGATCTTTCCCTCCTAACTGCAGGTTAAGCCTGGGGTATTAGAGTAATACCCACTTTTCTCTAGAGAGTGGGTTGGGGCTAAGAAGGAGTCACTTCCCTGTGGCTGGGGAAGCTTCCTGGAGTAACTCAGGCTTTGCACTCTGCCAAGGTTTTGTTAAACATCCTTTCTCAGGATTCAGGAATAATCTATGTTCTATTCATACTGACTATTCTTGGCTTTTGAATTATTTCCCCCAATTCAGTGTGAGCCCCAGGAAATGAAAACCATTTTCCTGTCTCTGTTGTGGGAATCTGTGAGGTAGGGCTATATTGGAGACTTGGTTCCACTCCAAACCTATTTATCAAGCAGCTCAAGTGCGCCTGTCTCAGCAGTACTCCAGCCAGTGAATGCTGAGGTGAACAAATTGGATGCCCGCCCTCATGGAACTTATCATCCCGCAGGAAAGAGGAACACACAAAAAGATCAATCTACACAATGCAGCACCTGCTGGGCATGCAGTATTGGTGAGATGTCCTGCAATCAGGATGTGTTTCATCATAAGAAGTTGTTTTTTTTCTGGATTACAAACCAAGCAGAGCATGAGCCATGCAACTGGAGTTCGAGGCAGGTGCTAGATCGTAAATAATGTACACGCTAGGGCTTGAACGTTAACCAAAGACACAAAAGAGATATCACAGAAATATCTCTGTTTTAAAAGAAAATCCTTATTTTAATTAAGAAAAGCATTAAGAAATATGCTTGGTCTCACATCACATCCTGTTTTGCTAAAATTTTATCTTAAATTCTGTCTCTTGGTTTCTAACATGTCTTATAACTAGGTCACACATTTTAAGACTCACACCAGCATGACACAAACTTCGCATGTATTTTTCACAGAAAACAAGAGTGTAGAAGAGATGGTCATCCTAGAAGACTGTGAAAATTGTAACCTTTAAGCTCAAAATCCAGTCATGAATTACTTGGCCAATTCCAGAACAGACATACTAAATGCTCTGAGAGGGAGGAAAAACACAGTCAAGGACCCTGTGCTAAGGCACCCAAGTCTTGAATGTCATGCCCAAAGTGAAGAAATGCTCACCAGTCATCATCTGTGCTGTGAAACACAGAAAAAAAAGACAGTTCTAGGGAACTTCCTCAAGCATGAGTCTAACATAAATAACCTCATCTTCAATTTGAGCAATTATGAAATCCCAGGCCAATCAGATTTTGTCTCCAGTAGGTACTTAGTCATGAAGTTGTCTTGATATTATTTATTCAGAAAATGTTTTTCTTTTTTTCTTCTTCTTCCTTTTAATCATTAAATCTGGCAGACTATCTATGCTTCCTGAAACTCATAACTCTTACTCAACTATTAATTAGGAGCTAATTTCAAAATGTTATTTATATTTAGCTTTGAAAGAACATTTGCATATATAATTCAGTATAGATGTCTCAGGTTCTAGAGAATTTAGAGTTTTCAAGCTAAATGCCTCATGCTGGGGAGATCTAACCCCGAACAAACTCTCTGTCTTCCTCCCTCTCCCAGACTTATTCCAGCCTTGCAGAAATACCTTTCTCCCACTCTTCCATTTTCAGGGGGGAGGGTTGACTAGATAGCCCCTACAATCCTCTCTATTTCTAAGATTCCGTAATTATTAGAGAGGACAACTTATAATTATGAGATCGTGCCTCCTGTTTAAACCTAAGTAATGGAAGAAAGCCTTGAATTGTCTTCTAACTAAAAGGATATAGTCTAAAGAAGTAATTCACGTAAATGACATGAGAATATCAGCAACCAATTTTAAATGTCATTGTCTTCCATCACAGATAAATTAGGTCATATAAGTCATCAAGTGAATAATATATTTTATTTGCAACCTTAGAGGATCAACTGCCTGATGAATGGATACTTCAATGACTAATATGGTAAAATAGAAAGGAAACTATTTTCTTTTTAGATTTCATTCTAACAGAATTTTTATCCAATTGGAAGTCAACTGTTCATACCGTATTTTTTTATTATTATTTCTAACTGTGCTGAAATACATCTAACATAAAACTTATCATCTTAACCATTTTTAAGGGTATAGTTTAATAGCAGTAAGTACATTCACATTGTTGTGCAATCACTATCATCATCCATCTCCAAAACCATTTTTATCTTGCAAAAATGAAACTATACCATGAAACACTCCCAATTCTCCCTTCCACCCAGTCCCTGGCAACCACTTTTCTTCTTTTTGTCCCTATGAATTTGACTACCCTAGGTATCTCATTTAAGTGGAATCATCCAGTAATTGTCTTTTTGTGACTGGCTTATTTTGCTTAACATAATGTCTTCAAAAGTTTTGCACTATTTTTTATAGTTATCTTTTGCATGATGCAAAAAAGTAATCAGAATTTTTGCCTGTACTTTGAACTCAGATGTCAACCACATTGATTCTATGTAGTGAAAATATTGAGCTGGAAGCTATATAGCAGCAACAGTGAATAAAATTATCACATCACACATTTGAAGTACACATGCTCTGATTTTAAGCCTATATGTGTGACATATTGCATTCACTTTAGAAATTAAATTGGCATATAGCACTGAGTTTATTTTTAGACTAAAAATTCTCCTAGGAGATGAAAATGGAAGAGGAGGGGGAAATTCTGGTGTGAAACCAACAGTCTGTCACTTTGGGGAGGCACTAATGGGTGTGGCCACTGACCTTGACTAAGTGGACCATCGCATCCTCGAAGAACACCAAATCCATGCCGGCACCACGGACACTCTCATTATAGAGCTGCAGGAACATATTCAAACGCTCCTTTAGGTGATCAAAAGACTCAATTGGCTCATAAACTTTGGGCATCTCAGTATCAGCCTCTTCAGATGTTTCTCCTGGGATTGGGGAAAAAAGAATCACTTAAATGTCTTCAACTTGCTGGGCTTTCCTACTTCCTTCAATGTAAATTACTACACTCATAACTCCATAATTTAATACTACATAACACTGATTTTTGTCTAAATGTCATATTATGTATTGTTATAAAAGAAAGGAACAAATACTAAAAGCATTAGAATTATTGTGATCCTATACAGTCATAGTTCTTTCCTGTCCAGAAAAGGCCAACTTCAAATAATTTTATAAATACTGAATTAAATTGCATCCATAGTTGAACATTGTCATTTCAAGGATCCTCCCAGAGATACTCACCTAATCATCCAAATGAAGATCAAATAAAGTAATAATGTAACGTCAATATCAGCAACAGAGGCTAAGAATTAAATTATTTTTAATAAGAATAAAAAGATCATTGCATCTGTTCAGGCAATTTTTATAATTCAGAAATTTCAGGTTAGTGGTAAGGATAGAAGTAAATTTGAGGGAATGGAGGTAGAGGGTTGAGAGAAAAAGAATAATGATTTCCTAAATAAATACACATATTGAATTATTTCACTGGGAAAATATTTAAAGCAATATATTTTTCATTAGAAACATATCATATACAAGCCTAACACTTTTCCAACTTTGACTATAAAGCATAATACCAAAGAAAAAGCTAAACTGAGCACATATAAATTCACTATCAGGTAACAGTAACAGGAAAAAAAAGTGACACATTCATTGAATATACTAATAATAACTTAGAAATTCACTGGGTACTAAAAAAGTGAGTGGGCCCTCCAAATCTAATACTAATTATTTTCAATTGACCCTGTCCGAATATAATTTTGTATTAACCTTTTTATGACAAGGAAAGGAAGTTGATTTAACATGATCATTACCATGGCCTATTTGCAAAGCTCTAACTTATTTCAATAGTCACGTCACTGTTTCATCAATGTTCAACTCAAGCTTCGAGGAACAGTGCTTTGAAGTCACAAAAGATTGTTTGCCTCAAGATGCCACCCACCCTAAAAAGCATTTGTGCTTTGCTCCTTGAAAATCATAATCTAAATATGTATCTTTCTCAATTAGAGGAAATAAAATACATAAATTCTAATTACCTAGCAAATGCTCTTACCATTACTGCATTTTTGTATTTGTGTGACCTGATTTAAAATAAAATGTGTCAGCGTCTTTCTGTGGAAGGTCCCTTCCAACTGCACAGCCAGCAATAAACCTCCTTTTACACTTTTCAATCAGAAACTGGGATCACATACATCCTTATTAAATCTAGAAAGGGGCTGCCTTGTCATTTTCAATCATTTAAAAGATATACATAGCATGTGTTTAAACACGCCTTTTTAAATTTGGAAATTAACTTAAAATTCATCCTCAGTTCAGAAGAGGTCATTCAATAAAAGAAAGAAAAAATTTCTAAGGGAAAAAAATAATTGGAGCAATACTTCTTTTCGTAAGAAAAGTAAAGTATGTCTCAATTTTTCATGGAACCATAGCCACAAAAGCTTGCCTCCACATCGCCCATCTCTTTCTAATTATATGCAATGGCCCTCTCAGATAGTTTGAGGTTCTTCTTTTGACTGTGAACATTCGGGATGACCCAAATAATAATCATCATTTTTGCTGCCTTTCATTCGGCAGTGACTATGAGCCACAGATGGCCCAAGCCCTTCTGCAGACGGCATTTCATTTATTCCCCACAGTGCTCCATGATGCCTATATGAATATTTCCATTTTTATAAATGAGGAGAATGAGGTTCAGTCAAGTTCAGAGACTTGCCCAGCTAATGTGTGACAAGTCACTTCCTCACATCTACGTCTGTGTGACAGCTGTAAGTCCCAAGTGCTCTATTCTGTCCTATCCTGTTTCCCAACTCTACCTTAATATCCAAGACTCATGTGCATAAAAAGTAGTTAAACTCTGAACTCCAGGAGTATGCACTTATATATTCATTCTATATTTGTTGCATGCTTAGCATGGTCCCAGGCTTGTTTCAGTAAAGTTTACTGGACAAATCTATTGTCTTCAGATATCCCTTCGGGGAATTTCAAATTCTGCTTCAATAGTTTACCTGTCAATTCGGGTGCATCCCTCAAGAAATCCACAAAATAAGCGTCGATTCCACAATCCACCAAGAGTTTTTTCTCTTCACCAAACGCCTCCTCCACCAAACTTACTAAAGCCTTATCAAACCAGGTCACATCGTCTGACACCGTGAAACGATCAGCTATCACGCGTTTACACTCATGCTTCCAGAGCCTTAACAGTTCCTGTAGAAAGCACAGTGAAAATGTGCTACTGGTTGCCATTATGCCAGAGATTGGAATTCAAGGTCACGATATTGTAGAGTACTATCCTTACTGATTTAAGGTGCTACATTTTGAAAAGTTGGGGTTAAGATATACTTACCTTCATTTCAAATCTGTGTCATTCAAGAATATTAAACAGAAAGTAGGTTCTATTCATTTCCATTTTTTAAATGAAAAAGAAAACATCTCTAGACAAAATACTAAAATCACTCTGATCAACCAACAAATATTCTATTTAAAAGTCTTATGTTTATGATAAATTAGTCTGTATTAGTCATGTAGCCAGACCATAAAATAAAATGCAGTGTATAAATAACTCTCACTTATACAGTTGAGGTATTACAAAGGTATATTTACTTAACACCATATGATGATAATTTGAGGCAAAAAAAGAAAAAAATGGCAATCACCTAAGCTAGATAATTCAGGGCCAAAAGTTAACTGGAAGTTAAGGAAATAATGGCCCAACACACCTGTCCCTATAGCAAGCAGAACAAATGTTTGCCTAAGCTCATTGATATGAAAGACTGGTGGAAATGTCTTAACTTGGCAACATTTTGCAAGTTGGAAGGGTTTTTAAGCCATTATATTTCTAATGATAGAATGCCATTTAGTTGCCAAAATATAAAAGTAGTGTAGTGAAATATATCCAATAATTCCATTAAAATAAAAGTTCATGATAAAAACCAATTGCTAAAACTATTTATACTGATTTAAAATAAACATCAAAAAATGGCTACTCAAAAAGTAATGCTGGAGAACTCTATTCCATCATGCCATTAATTTGTCAATAACTTTGAAGGAAAAATCAAGTTAAAATGTTCATTGCTGTTAAAATGGCTCTCACTTTGCTGTAACAAGGAGAGTAAGTTTTCACCAAAATATCTTGTCTTAGAGTCAACCAGTGCAGATTCCTACTTTGTGAGCATCTGGGTAACGTTGTTCCTTTAAATAGTCAACATACTGTGCCTAGTGACCGTGTAGTTGATATCTCAATTTTCTCTGTATTTTTATGTGCCCTAAAACCCATTTGCTTAACGACCTCTTTGGTTCCATAAAAGGCTGAAAGAGAGGCCAAGGTCACATTAGCCTGAGCACACAAGCCATGCTTTGGTTCCTTATTCAAAGGAAATTCTATAATGCTAGGAACCATTATATTCCAGTGGATGTACAAATGCTCATTTTTCTGTCAAATGAACTTTCTTTCTTCTATTCTGCCTCCATTCAATGTTAGCAATACATAATTCTTTCAATGCATTCAATGATATGGAAAGGAAAGATCATGAATGAATAACAACAAATGTTTTCTTTTTTTAATTTTGATTATTTCTAAAGATAATTACTTTTTAAGTTAAAATGTCATGTTTAAAATATGAAGACTCTTATACAATAAAATCAACAGTGATCTGTTCCATTATTTAGTTTTAAAAAATACCGTCTGATGAGAAAAGAAAATCAATTGTTCCTTTTACTCTATTAACAGAAAATAACTATGTATACCAGTTCCTTAAACATAAACCTTAAATTAATTAGAATTTTTAAGTAAAATTTTCTGACATACTGTTTCTTTATTTGTGTTCATTTAAAAACAGCAAAGAAAAAATATCTGTTCTAAAACATCTAAAAATATTGTCATAATTCCACTAAAGATTACATTACTAAGAAAATCTAGGGTGTATGGTGAATAACAATGTTGTCTGTCTTTCTTTCTTATGTATTACTTACATCTGGTTCCTTGATAACCTCTGAGGTGGTGTTCAGCATTCCCTGCCAGATCCTGGAAAGATCTCGAAGGTTAAATACGTAATGGAATTTTGCAGGGGTGGGGAGCATTTTCATCTTCGTCATCTGCCACAGTCGGCGTGTCAGGGGAACCAGTTTTGTCACTGAATCTCTCACTTCCTCTGAGAAACCCCTTTGCATACAGTAGTAGCCTGTCCCAATGACACCTGAAAGGGGAAAAGACGCATAACAGTTTGACTGACAGTTCACATCAACTAAATTAAAATGAAAAACATTATAATGCAGAGTTTGCACAAATATAATTACACATTTTAATATACAACTACAAATTAAGGAAATTTGTAGTATGTTCTCTTATCTTTAACACCTAAAAAGTAGATACAAGTTCAAGAAGGTTAGCACTCAAATACTGAAAAGTTGATTAAGAAATACTACTGCAACTCTAGCTGAACTAATTCAATATTATTAAATGGGTAACTGATAAATATATAAAGATGCCTTATAAAAGAGATAAGAAAGAGGAAGATTTCATAGCTGCTCTAAGGTTTCTCCATTCATTTGTTGCATTTTCATGCATTACAAAATATTTTAATTTACCTTATATATAAAACTTTCCAGGCCCCAAACCCCAAAGAAGATAATTAAAAATGGTAACAGTCATACTTTCTGCTCCATTTTACTTTTCCCAAGTCTAGATAATTCACATGTCATTTGGTTTTCAAACCTTTGCCCACTGCTGTAATTGAAGGCAGGCACTGCCTATGGTGCTAAGTTGACATTTTGGTCTGCCAGAAATTAATTAGGGTAATCCTTAGGAGTTTTTTCTCAGTATCAGGTTCAGAAATACTAAATTAATACTTAAGACAAATGACATAACTTACACTCTTTTTCTGCAAAGAATAATTCCAAAATTGGTTATAAATCATTTTTATTACTCAGTTAAATAATTATGATTATCTATTGGGCTTGTTTCTTCAATAAAATTATTCCTGAAATACTACATATGTAATCAATCAATGATTTATTACTCTATAAATTATTCGGAAGATGAGACTATAATTAATCTCAGTGCAAAATTATTTCTGTGCAAAATTATTTCTTTGGCCAGAATCATTATACGGGTTGGTTGAAGTACCAGCTATATAAACCTTTGGCTTGATATTGTATCAATCCAGACTTCAAATTTGTGTGTCCATGAAGAAATGATCGCATTATATAAGTCCTTATATAAACAAAATACAGTACTAGAGATTGATAAGGGGAACAGATTAAGGAGCCACCCAGTGCTCCCTCTGTGTTGACCTCTATCAATATATTTCTCATTGGAACACAAGGAATTGCTCTTCCCTCCCCAAGCCCCATCAACACTCATCTTACCAAAGATCTTGTCCATGGAAGCATCCGAGGGCAACGTGCAGTTAAATATAGAGAACTGCCTCTTGAGTCTTTGGGGTATATCATTGCGTCCACCCCCCGGATGGATCATGGCTGCCAAAAGCTGAATGTCCACAATGCTGGTAAACTCCCCAGGCTTCTCTAGGTTATAAAAACCACTCTGTTCCATCAGCTGCCGTACTATCTCGTTAGTAACCTAGGAAAGACAACTTTCAGACTGAAAATGTCACTCCTTTATATGCTGGAACCTAACTTCTTGAATGCTTCAAATCAATGCACTTGATGGGAATTCAGGAATTATATGTTGGAAAATCAGAAAAATACTGATTCATCAAGAATAAGTCCATGTTGAATTAAAGAAAGTGCACAATAAGACTCGACATACCTGGTCTCCCCACTCATTGATAATTGGCATATTCACATCATCGATAAAAACAGTCATCTTCTTTCCTGCAGGAGGGCCATATGTTGTACCCATGCGTTTATCCACATAACTCTCTACTGTCCTCTGTTAAACAAGAAAGCCAACAGAGTGTAGTGAAATATATCCAATGATTCAGTTAAAATAAAAGTGAAAATATCCCCTAAAACATGGTCAATTACTTTAAAAATTTAGGGACACTTGAATTGACAGGAATTACTCAGAAAAACAACCCAAACTCCCCTTAAATCTGGAATGCAGGGTGCAAAGTGCCCAAATTATCTTGATAGTGTTTACAACCTTTGAAAACATGATTTATTTTAGGAGTAAATAAAATTCTAATCCATGTAAATTTTTAATGGGATGGGACTCTTCAGGCCATGTCTACAAATTTACTTTTGTCTCATTATGCCTATGTTGCTGACACTTTAACCTCCACCCCCATTTTTCAAAGAGTCCAGCCTTTATAATGAGGGACAAAGGTCTTAGGACTGGGCTCTGAGCTGCTCAGCCTGCTGTAGGCTGAAGACGGCTCTCCCTCCACGAGGAGGCTGCCACCTGGCTCCTGTGGCCTGACGCCATCCAGACTCACTGCTCTGGGGCAGATTCACTCTGCATCACTTCTCATCCCTTGAGACAAAATGAACAGCACCCACCCACGTCTCCTCTCTCATTTCCACCTTTGAGCTTAGGTAGCACAGGAGACTACACTGTGCTCTATAAAAACACTTCCCTAGCAATATGAAAAAGAACCTTAAAACTGATGAAACTACTAATGTAATGTTATGTGTCAATTACACTTCAACTAAAAAAAAACTGGTGGAAGGAGTGTTGAAAGGGGTAAGAGGGACATTGGAGAAGGACCCCAGATTGTTGACTATGATGTTATCATTTCCATGGTAGTACAATGTAGTTTGTAAATTAATCAGTCATTCAAAATGTATGCACTGATTAACCAGAGCTAGCACGGCAAAGAAAACAGAAAGGGCTTTGTGGTTCCCATGCTCTAGCCAGGGGTTGGGAACCTTTTTCCTGCAAGGGCCATTTGGATATTTATAACATCATTCTTGGGTCATACAAAATTATCAACTTAAAAATTAGCCTGCTGTATTTGGTCAGACATTTAATTAACTCAGCCCTAATGCCTTGGCAGGGCCAGACCAAATGATTTCATGGGCTTTATACGGCCCGAGAACTGGATGTTCCCCACCCCTGCTTTAGTAAAGATGAAAGATTTATGGGATCTAAAGAGACACCAGAGTATATCCCACGCCTGCTTTAGAAGCTCAATCTTAAAGACCTCATTTCAGTCCTACCACTGTACAGATCCTTGATTTTAAGTCATATTAAAGATAATGCATAAATATAGGAGAAAGTGGAGGTATATTGACATAAAATGCATTCTCCTCCTATCCAAAAAAGCTTTCTCTTATTTCATGATGAGTAATCCAGTAAAAAATGACTTTAATATCCAAGGTACAACCAGAAAATAAGGCCATGATATAAGCAAAAATCTATGCATCTGTCCTTGGAAATGGTCACAGTTTGGTAATTTTAAATTTTAAGTTTCTATCCTCATTTTAACAAATAATAAATAGCAAAAGATATGAATATTTTTCACCTGTTTTATATAGAAAGATATATAAATATATCACAACTCATTCAATTGCGAAACAAATCTCCCATGACAACAGTGCAATGGCAGAAAGAATTTTATATTCCCTGACATAGAAGCAAACTGTTTGAAGTAATGAAGTAGGCTAAATTTAGCTCTGCTTCCCAATGAATTTAAATGCATAAGGCAATTAATAATCTCCCGACACCTCCCTCTGGCACTAGAGCTTTCCAGGCATTCCCAGGTCTATTTGTGAGAACACACAGGCACATAAAGATTTTATGTCTTAAGGGGGCGGCGGGGGGGGGGGGCAGATTTTAAGAGCTAAAAGCCATAGGTGGACTAAGTGAGATAATATGAAGCAATGGCCACATACCTGCACTTTCTGCCCCTTCATTATGACCTTAATTTCTTTGAAATAGCAGGAAATTATTAGTAAGCTATATATATGATAAAAGAGCTAATTTGACAAAAACAAAGTAGGGAGAACAAATAAATAGCTTGTGAACCTGGAGTTGAGACTTCTTTCTGTTTTTAGAATTGCTGCCCATTAAATAGTTACCTAATGAATTCTGAAGTTTGCTGGGACCTCCTGAAGGCCTGAAACACAGTAACTGTGTGTTTCACTCCCCTACACACCTATTTGGGAATGTGTGGGGAAACCACATACTTGGACTGGTATCTCCAACTAGACTTCCCCACTTGGATGACCCATTGCATAACAAAATCAGCATATCTAAACATAAACACCTCTTATTCACCCAAAGTCTGCACCCACTCCTGTGTGCTCATTTCAGGACTAGGCCCCAACTACCTACATGCCCTAGTTCAGTTATTTGTCTTTCTCATGGGGACTAATGTCACAATCACTTAAATTGCCTCCCTAGCCTCCTCCAGTCAGTATGGAAACTTCTTTATAAGTCATACACATGTGTGACTTATAATTTCCTGTATCCCTAAAGAATTACTGATCATTTTTGTAGTAACCTACCACCCACATTCTCCCTGATCTCTCTGACTTCTGTTCCCACCTCTCCCATTGTTTTGGTGATAAAAACCATGGTCTGGTTAATGAAAATAGGTATATTAGTTTACTTAATTACTGCCTGTCTCCTCCACCAGAATGTAAGGAGGTCAGCACCTCGTATCTTTCTCATCGTTGCATCCTCAGTGCCTAGAAGGGTATCTGGCCCAATGTATGTATCAGTCAACATTTGATATATACATAAAGATAAGAAACCTGGAGTCATTTTTAACTTTTTTCTCTCTCTTCCATCCCTCTCCACCAACAATATCCACTCAACCTGTCAGTTCTGCTTTCTAACCACAACTTGAATGCATCTCGGTGCTGTTTCCATTCCCACTTTTATTCTCCTGGTCCCGCCAACCTCCCTCCTGAGGAATTACTGCAGCCACCCCCTCTCCAGTCCCTCTTAGCGCAGCCACATCTCTTCCATCTTGTTCTCCACCTCCACAGGCAGAATGAACTCCCTAAGCGGCAACGTAACCCTAATCAATACTCCAGTGGTTCCCCATTAGTGATTTACAGGGACCTCCATAATGCTCCCTGCTTACCATTCCAGTCTCGTTTATAAATACTCTTCAGTCTCTGTGTTCCAGCCCTTCCAGGTCATGATTCATTCAGATTCATTTAGCAATAAAAACATACCATAGACTGATGCTCATCTCACAGGCTGGTTTAGTGTTCATTATGAGAACCTTATTTACATATTCCTAGAGTAGCCATTTCTGAGCAAGAGAAATCTCTTGGGATAAGCATTAGCCAAACACAACTTCTGAAATACTGATGTAGATGACTGTTCTTCCTTAAAATGTTACTTCTCTCAACCCAGCTATTGATTTTAAAAAAATTGGAACCTGGCCGGTGTGGCTCAGCAGTTGAATACTGAGCCATGAACTAAGAGGTGGTCGGTTTGATTCCCAGTCAGGACACATGCCCTGGTCGCAGGCTCCATCTCCAGTAGGGGGTATGCATGAAGCAGCTGATTAATGTTTCTATCTCTCTATCCCTCTCCCTTCCTCTCTCTCTAAAATCAATAAAAACATATTTTTTAAAATTTTTGAAATCTCTAGCAGGTGCCTGGATTATGGAAAGTTTATACTGTTATCTGAGAATAAACAAAAAAATTTTACTTTGAAATCTGGGAATGGTAATCAGCATGACATCATCTTAAGCAATTTATAGAACCAAACAAAGGACCCCGGTGTTGTTATCTCACACACAGATGGAAAACCAGGGTTATCCCAATTATGACAGTGGTGCTTTAAGAAATAAAAACTAGATGGTTAGGGATCCAGATAGACTTAGGAATGGAGGTGAGGAAAGCTGCCCTTCTCCATTCTAAGCTGGCAGTCCTAAGGGCCGCTGGGGCAATTCAATTTTCTGAATTAATTTCTTAATAGATTATTCAGCCTCTATAATTCCTAAAATTAATATAACAGAAATATTAAATTCCCCCAGGTCATGGTCAATTCTTTCATTACATTGATTTCTGTAATCCCCTAAAGAAACTTGTCCCCTCTTCCTCTGGGCTCTACAGTACTTAGATTACACCATGAGCAGCACTTGTCCCATCAGCTACGCCTGGTTGTGTACATGCCTACTCCTCCAATCTGACAGAGGGAGACGGCTTGCATTGGAAGGGGTACTGGCAGGGTCCCGTACAGCTGAGGAGGTTGTACACTGCCCAGTTCTTGGATTTACCATTCACATGATTGTCTCTGTGAATGGGACATAGCATAAACCTGCATAACCTGCATGGTCTATTCAATAGCTCTCATTAGGTTTAAGTCAGAAAAAAAGGATTCAACTGCTACTTCTCCCACTTATTAACATTGTCAATTGATGTAAGTCACTTAGTATGTCTAAATCACAGCTCAGAAGTGGGACTGTATATAACGATGCATAAATCAAACATATATACATATGTGTATATATGCATGAGTATTATCCACAAATGATATAATATATATGAAAGCACTTAGTGGCCTTAATGCATTATAAAAAAGAGATATTTTAATATTACTGTACGTATCTCTATAGATCAGCACTTGAATCATTTTCCATACATTTTACATCTAATTAAATTGAAATATAAAATACACTTAATTTTAGGCTTCCATTTATCTGCTATTTAGCGAAAATATAAAAATGGAGTGCTGGAAGCTATCCATTATCTACACTATCAGGAAAGTGTAAACAAGGAACCCAGAAGACTGATGGACCTTGAGCTTTGGCAAGGGCTAAAGCTATGCACCGATTATTTAGTTGAGACAATGGTAGCTCAAGCAATTTCCTGATCTACTAGTCTCAAAGTGAATCTTTACTAATATTTACTGACCTTTAAGATAGTCTGTCTGCTACCATAATTGCCTGCCCTTCTAAGGGCAAGATGTGTATCTAAAATTGAATAAAAAGCAAGCATGGCCTTGGCACCAGTGAAGCCCTTGC